GTCTAGCACTTACAATTACGGACAGAACATAATACTTATAATGATAAATGACTATGTTACCAGTTTATATATTTACTATACTATGCTTTTATCATTATTTTAGCATTTACTTCTACCTATTTTTTAAAAATAGGCTAACTGTGGGACAAAATGCGGGGTTGGGAGACAATTATTTTGATGATCCTGACCCTATATAGACCTAGGCTAACGTGTGTGCATGTATCTTTGTTTTTAACAAAAAAGTTTAAAAAGTAAAAAAGAAAAAAAATTAAACATTAGAAAAAAGCTTACAGAATATGGCTATAAATATTTTTGTAGAGCTATATAATATGCTTGTATTTTAAGCTAAGTGTTATTACAAGAGAGTCAAAAAGGGTTTTTTAAGTCTATAAAGTAAACAAGTTAAGTAAGCTAAGGTTAACTTATTATTGAAGAAGAATTTTAAAAATAAATTTAGTGTAGCCTAAGTACACTGTGTTTATAATGTCTACAGTAATGTATCATAATGTCCTAGGTCTTCACATTTACTCACTACTCACCCACTGACTCAGAGCAACTTCCAGTCCTGCAAACTCTGTTCACGGTAAGTGCCCTATACAGGTGTACCATTTTTTATTTTTTATGCCATATTTTTACTGCACCTTTTCTATGTTTAGATATGTAAATATTTACCACTATGTTACAAAAGTCTACACAGAATAGTATTTGGTACAGTAACATTCTGTACACGTTTGTAGCCTAGGTGTATAGTAGGCGGTTTAGGTTTGAGTAAGGACACTCTATATTTGCACAATGATGAAACTGCCTAGTGACAAATTTCTCAGAATGTATCTCCATCATTAAGCAGTGCATGACTGTACTTCTTTAGACTGTATATTTGTAGAACACTAAAAGCTTTTGCCTTAAAGGTAAGAATGAGGTATATATGTGTACTATTACCACTATTGTTTAAAACTATTCAAGAGTTCTCAGTCTTGACTATGACATTTCCGCCAGATAGTTCTTTACTGTGGGAGTTGCCCTGTGCAATACAGGATGCTTAGAGCAGGAATCCCTGGCCTCTACTACTAGATGCCAATAGAATTCCTGTCCCCCAGCCCCTCACCCCCCCCACCCCCCCACACATACACACAAGGTGCAACAACCAAAAATGTCCTCAGGCATTGTCCACTGGTGAGTTAAATTGCCCCTAGTGGAGAATCACCATTCTACAAGTATTAACCAACATATCCAGAAAATAAAAATAAATTAGAGATATAAGAGTTGAAAAGAGGTAAAGTTAATGTTATTTAAAGAGGAAACCTTTTTTTTTTTTGCTTAGAAAACACAAGAAAATCAACTGAAGGACTATTAAAAATGATAGGATAATTTAGGATACAGATTTGGATACAATATCAATACAGTTGATCCTTGAACAACATGGGTTTGGAACCATGTGGGTCCATTATAGGCGGTGTGCAGGTCTATTTATATATGAATTTTTTCAACCAAATGCAAACGGAAAATATAGTATTCGCAACAGCTGTGTGGGTTGGAATTACTTCTGGAAATATTTACAAGTAATCAAAAATTCATAGACTTTTACTCCTTCTGCCTCTGGTTTGCTTATAACATAGTCCATGGGTTTTTATGGTTTCCAGGAAAAGAAAATTTGGAACTAAGCTTCTCATGCTCCCCCTTGAACTAGAAGTCTTAATTATGCATAAATGATAACACATACAGCACTCAAATGAAGGTTGTGTTTATTTGCTTAAGACTGAAAAAAAAAAGACCTGGACATCTCAGCAGAACCCTTCTTGGAATAGATACACTGTCAAAAACTGGACCTTCGCCATGCTGCATGGCTGTGATAGCAGAATGGATTCACCAACTGCTTACTAAGCAAAAAGGGACTGGCAGCTCACTGCTGAGTTCCCTAACACAGAAATACTGTCTGACAATGTGCTTTTTCAATGGCTCTGTTGACACTGCAAGATTCATTCATGCACAATTGCTTGTCTCAAGATGAGATTCTTGTTTAAAGGTGAATACTGCTGAATATCTTCTTGGAAGCAGTCTTTCTTTTGCTTTTCTTTTTTTTTTTTTTAATTGGGGTCTCATTCCATTGCCTAGGCTGAAGTGCAGTAGCATGCTCATGGCTGATGGCAGTCTTGGACCTCCTGGGCTCAAGCAATCCTGCCTCAGCCTCTGGAGTAGCTGGGACTACAGGCGTGTGTCATGTCTGGTCAACTTTTTGAATTTGTAGAGACAAGGTCTCACTATGTTATCTACACTGGTCTTGAACTACTGGGTTCAAGCAATCCTCTTGCCTCAGCCTCCTAAAGCTTGAGCCATCATGCCCATTATAAGTGTGAGCCATCATGCCCAGTAGAAGCACCCTTTCTCTAGAAGCTACTCTTCTTTGTAATATGTTATTTACATTACTGATGACATTAGAACACATTACAAAATGATTTAGGCAGTACTTGACAAGAGTAATTAAAATAGCCTCTAGAACTCTGCCTTTCATAACTATTTTTTTTATTTAAACACCTCTCCAGAAGGTACTCAAAATTACCTCTCCAGAAGATACTCACTTCTAATGGCCTCTATGACTAAAGGGTGCCTATATGCATTTGGTTTTTTTATTTAATATTTACCAAATCCCTATGATGTGCTAGGCTCTGCTTTAAATGCTGAGGATTCATGGATGATCAAGGAAAACAAGGTTGCTGTCCTCATGTAAGCTTACAAATATCAGAAAAAAAGAGATAATTATTAGGAACAAAACACCTAGGTCTACCATAAAGACAATTCTACACTTCAGTGTTTTAAAGTAGAATCTTATTATTCAGATTTTGTTATCTGAATCACTGTCAGCCTATGCAACTAGATACACCTCAGTGCTTTTATCCTAATTAAAAATAAATTTATTTTTCCTTCCTATCTCAAACAGTACAAGCACCTCTAGGTCTGAAAGAGTAACACAAATATCTTGTAGTTTTTTTTTTTCTCTATAGAATAATTAGAAAAACAAAATTTAAAACTTCCAAAGATATGATCTAAAGGTTATAAAATGACAAACAGGTATCTGTAAAAAATTATAAAGATAGGCCGGGCTCAGTGGTTCAGCCTGTAACCCCAGCATTTTGGGAGGTTGAGGTGAGTGGATTGCCTGAACTCATGGGCTCGAGACCAGCCTGGGCAACTTGGTGGGACCTCGTCTCTACAATAAATAAAAAATTAGCCGGCCATGGTAGCATACGCCTATAGTTCCGGCTACTTGGAAGGCTGAGGTGAAAGGATCACTGAAGCCCGACTGGGGTGACCGTGAGTGTGCCACTACACTCCAGCCTAGGTGATGGAGTGAGACTCGGACTCAAAAAAAACCCCAAAATAATAAAGGTAAATGGAATCATACTATACATATCATTCTGTATCTTAATTTATTCACTTAACAATTTATCTTAGAGTTAATTCCATATTAAAACATAGTGTCTACTGCATTATCTGGAACAGGTATATAATACTCTATCAGACGGGCATGCCATAATTTATTCAACTAGTGTCTGATAGGTATTTAGAATGTTTCAATTCTTTTACTATTATAAACAATGCACCAAGAATAACTTTGTACCTATGTCTCTGTGCTATTAGAACTTCTATTAGTAAAACAAGCCCTCATTAGTGAAATTCATGAGTATATGATAAATTTCTCTCCGAAGAAAGTATTAGCCAATTTACACTCCTGCCACTAATGTAGGCATGTCAGCTCCCTCTACTCTCTCCAACATAGTGAATTAACAAACTGGGCCTTTTACTGGATGACTTATAAAAAAATTCTTTATTTGTTAGACTTCTTTACATCTGTCTGACATATATATTAGGAATCTTTTTACCAGAATCTTTCCATTTTTATGTATTCCAAAGCATTAAAATTTTCTTTCACAGCTTCTGGGTTTTATGCCTTCGTACTAAGAAAGGCCTTCTCCATTCTGAAATTATATTTTAAAAATTATCCCTTGTTTTTTCTTTACACATTTATTGTTTGATGTTCAAGTCTTTAATTCATCTGGAATTTCTTTGAAGGAAGGAACAGCATAAGGTGCCAGCATTGTTTTTGCTAATTACTAACACTAGTTACTGAACTTTTTTTATTTTTTATATATTTTGGGTTGGAGTCCTCTCTGTTGTGGAGGCTAGAGTGCTAGGCACGATCATAGCTCACTGCAACCTTGACCTCCTAGGCTCAAGTGATTCTCACATCTCAGCCTCTTGAGTAGCTGGGACTACATGTGCACACCACCACACCCAGCTAATTTTTTAATTTTTTTGCAGAGACAAAGTCTTGCTATGTTGCCTAGGCTGGTCTTGAACTCCTGGGCTCAAGAGAGCCTCTTACTTAGGTCTCCCAAAATGCTGGGATTACAAACATGAGCCATCATGCCTGACAACCAGTTATTTAACTTCTTGCTCCAATTATTTGAAGTATCAGCTTGTTTCTATACTAAGTTCCATGATAGATTGAGGTTTATTTTCTGAATTTTCCCTCTTGTCCTATTGACTAGCTTATTTTAAAAAATAGTACCAAACCTGTTTAGTATCTGTACTTTTATAATATATTTTAATATTTAATAGATGTTCCAATTCATTTTTATTACATATTAAAATACAATTTTTATAAGAAAAAATTTCTGAATTATAATGAAATTCAAAAAGAAACCATTTTATCCAATCATAATTTTTTGTGAATGTATACTATAATGAAAAAGATGGCTAACATTTACTGGGCACCTACTAGTACAAAAACGCTCGTGAGGAATGGGGGTGAAAGATGTGATATAAAGCAAGTTAGGGTTCATCAGGGAGTCAATCTAGTGAGGGAATCTGTGCTCTTACATTGCTTGCTTACATTCCCTCTTTATGTTTCACACACACTGTCCTGACACTTTTGTGCCCTTCTATCTCGGTCTCTCATACATACTCACATGCATGTACCATATTGTTAAATGAATACATACCTGTTTGATTTCTTTAATAACCAAAGTAACTGTGAACAAGACTGCCTGACTAGTGCTGCTCTGACAGGGAATGTGACAGGCTGATTTAGGTCACTACATATACATTCCATCTCCTTCACCATTGTCCAACTGTACCCTTAAATGAAAAAAAAAAAAAGAAAGAAATTTAGCCTTTGATTGAAATCCTGAAAGTCAATTACATAAAAAACTGAATCATCTATAATTTATCTATAGGTAAATTCATCGATAATTCATAGGTAATTGAAAATTATTTAGGTTTGCATTCAGAGTGGATTAAAATAACACAGTGTAAGAAAATACTTCTAGTGGAAAATATAGATTAAATGTCATGCCATAAGTGATCCAGAACAAATTTAACAAAAAATTAAAACACTAAAAAGGTTTTGCTAATCTCTCAAATACAAAAAAGGCAAACTGGACACTACCATATTTGTATTTACTTTAAAGATTCCAAGGCTCTAAGGTACACTGCATCATTATCATTCTCTATAAACTTAGATTTTCTATTTTTGATAAGTTTTCTCTTCCAGGAAAAGGTAGTTGCTAGATATTTAGTAGGTGTTTAAGTGATAATTAACTGTTTTTCTGAATACAGGAGACTTTATTGATGATACATGACAAGGCAGGGTTCCCTAGGGACCCCCCATCCTTCAGGGTGTCCGGCATGGACAACATGAGGAGGGGAGGTTCTCAGTGTGGTCAGGGACTCCCCAGTAGCTGAGGGCTTCTCTCTTCCTCTCCTGATCTCACTGAGCTGGTGGTCTGAGGGCTCTTACTCTTTGGAGGCCATGTGGGTCATGAGGCTGACCACCCTGTTGCTGTAGCCAAATTCATTGTCATACCAAGAGATGAGCTTAACAAAGTGGTCTTTGAGGGTAATGCCAGCCTCAGCATCAAAGGTGGAAGAGTGGGTGTTGCTGTTAAAGTCAGAGGATACAACCTGGTGCTCAATGTAGCCCAAGATGCCCTTGAGGGGGCCCTCTGATGTCTGCTTCACCACCTTCTTGATGTCATCATATTTGGCGGGTTTCTCTAGGCAGCAGGTCAGGTCCACAACAGACACAATGGCGGTGGGGACATGAAGGCCATGCCCGTGAGCTCGTTCAGTTCAGGGATGAACTTGTCCACAGCCTTGGCAGTGCCAGTGGACGCAGGGATGATGTTCTGGAGGCCCCATGGCTGTTGCAGCACAGCTTCCCAGAGAGGCCATCCACAGTCTTCTGAGTGGCAGTGATGACATGGACAGTGGTCATGAGTCCCTCCACGATGCCAAAGTTGTCTTGGATGACCTTGGCCAAAGGGGCTAAGCAGTTGGCGGTGCAGGAGGTGTTGCTGACAATCGTGAGATTGTTCTGGTAGGTACTTCTCATGGTTCATGCCCATCATAAACATGGGGACGTCAGCAGAGGGGGCAGAGATGATGACCCTTTTGGTTTGCAAGTGAGCCCCAGCCTTCTCCAAGGTAATGAAGACATTAGTGGACTCCACCACATAATCAGTGCCAGCGTCACCCCATTTGATTTCACTGGGATCTCGCTCCTGGAAGATGGGACTTCCATTGATGACAAGCTTCCCATTCTCAGCCTTGATGGTGTCATGGAACTTGCTGTGGAGTCGTACTGGAACATGTACACCATGTAGTTGAGGTCAATGAAGGGGTCATTGATGGCGACAATATTCACTTTGCCAGAGTTAAAAGCAGCCCTTGTGACTAGGTGACCAATACAGCCAAATCCATTCACTCCAACCTGCACCTTCACCCTGGTGCCTCAATGATGTGGCTGGCGCTGCAACTGAGACGTGGCTGTCCGTCAAACGGGAGGAGCAGAGAGCCGATAATTAACCTCTAATCAATTTTCTTTTTAGCTATTTCAAATTATTATACCTTTTACCTGAAGTAGAAATAGTGGTAAAATTGACTATATGTGTATTTTAAATCATGTTAAAACATTATGGAAAGGACACTTGCCTGTTTATATACATTCAGAAAAAGAAATTTATATTTTAAAAAAATCCTAAAAAACCCAAAAGCAGGTTATAAAAAGTATTAGTAAAGAAACATTTTGCAGAAATCTTAGGTAAATATGTTAGTTTAGCAGCTAAATTCCTGATGAAAAGAAGGAAAATTTTCTATTTTCCTTGAAAATCAGGAAAATTATACTTTTTTAATTAGAAAAAGTATGCCATAGAAGTATGTTATAGAATTATAGAAGCTATATTTATATAACTATAAACCTGTGAACTCTCTTTTATAAAACCTGCAGCATAAGAAGTAGAGGAGGAGGAGGCACAAGGCACGTATTGGTGACAAGAGGACAGCAGGGAGCAACCTGAAAACAATAAACTGCAGCATGACTAAGATCCAGGGTGGGTGAGTTCAGTTTGTGCCAGAGGTTAAAGTAAGATTAAAGAGTGACTAAGAGGAGTTTAGAGTCAGTAAGAAAGAAACTTGCTTCTAATTTATCTTCTTCAAACACTTTAAGTTATATGTTATACCCTTTAATGAAATTAATAAAAAATTAAATGATTAGAAAATCAAAATAGACTTAAGTTAAAGTGTATTACTTTTTCTCTCAATTATATCAATTGCTGGTCCAGAGGGTCCTAACCTAAATGTCACTGCTCACTAGATAGCAGTAACTCTGACCTTATGTTGGACATTAAAACTTTACATCTTTTTTTTTGAGTTGGAGTCTCACTCTGTCACCCAGACTGGAGTGCAGTGGCCGCTCCCGGCCACCGCAGCCTTGACCTGCTGGGCTCCGGCGATCCTTCCGCCTCAGCCTTCCAAGTAGCTGGAACTACAGGCGCACGCTACCATGCCTGGCTAATTTTTTTGATTTATTGTAGAGATGAGGTCTCGCCAAGTTGCCCAGGTGGGTCTCAAACCCACAGGCTCAGGCAATCCACTCACCTCAGCCTCCCAAAGCGCGGGATTACAGCCTGAGCCACTGAGCCCGGCTAAAACTTTACATCTTAAAACAATAATAGCAAATGAGTGAAACACAGTAAGATACAGGCTAACATGTCCATAGGCTCTAAATGCCCTTTTATTTTATTGTTTTTACTATGTGGACAGATGTCCCAGAGCACGTGATTGCTTACTCACTCTTTACCTGGAAATCACTACACTACCTGGGATATGTGAAAAAACAGAATGTATCCAGTGGTGTAAAAAGTCTCAACCAGGAAGAAGCTGAATGTCTGGTTCACTTGTAGGAAGATGTAGGAAAGAAGAGATCCAGCCTAGCGGAATGTCACATGGCCTCCCACTCCCCTATCCAGCATAAGCTGGATTGTGTCCAGTCGGAGATCACATAATGAGGGCACCATACTGGTGACCATAATGTGTCACCAGTAAACATAGTGTCTATCTGAAATAACAGAAGGTCTACACACATACCGGTAGGGTCAGGCTTTTCTCTCCATTAGGCTCTTACATTTTGTGGGCTGTATCCTGGGTTTTGTATTAAATATCTTATTTTCATATTTGAAGGATATTTTAATTTGACCAACAAGAAATACATTATTAGAATGATCACCTTCAAGACAGGCATAGTAGCCTCATACCTGTAACCTAGGACTTTGGAGCTGAGGCAGGAGGATTGCTTTAGCCCAGGAATTTGAGACCAACCTAGGCAACATAACAAAACCTTATCTTTACAAAAAAGCCAAAAAATTTGCTATGGGTGGTGGCACACACCTGTAGTCCCAGCTACTCAGGAGGTTGAGGCAGAAGGACTGCTAGCCCAGGAGATCAAGGATGCAGTGAGCCATGATTGAGCCACTGCACTCTACCCTTGGTACAGAGTAAGACCTCAACTCAAAAAAATAAATAAATACAAAAGAATTATCACCTTCATTGACTTTATCAGGATGCCATCCTGTTGTCCAACCCAGAGAAAATGTCACATCTGGAAAGAAGGATGTCACTGTATCTATAAATGGTTTTGCATCTACTATTTTACTATTTCCATTTGGACCAGGAAGAATATCAGCATTAATCCATACAGGACGCTTCAGATGCCTCTTCACATCTTCCAAAAGCACCATGGATGGTTCTACAGCTGCCAGACTAAAAAAATAGTTTGTTGTCAATGATATATTCCTAAAGTAAAAGTAAAATGTTCTTTTAGACTAGCAATGTTAATGTTCTCAAATTCATAATAAAAATATAAAATGTCTGACTTAAATACAATCAAAGATCACATAGCACTAGAAGAAAAAGCTAACGTACAAGGGGAGGACCCCCAAAACCTGGAATTTATTTATAAAAAATTGTGTAATTATTCTTACACGTTTAAACTTCAGTCACCTTCAAAGTACTCTCCATTTGATAAAATACACCTATTGAGATGCTTTTCTCACTGCTCCAGTTTTTGAACTTGTCAATTTTGATGCCTTTTAGTGCTTCTGCCAATTTTTGTTTCACCTCTTCCACATCAGCAAATTGTTTCCCTTTAAGGAATTTTTCATTGGGAAAATGAGAAAACGTCACTTGGGATGAGATCAAGTGAATAGGGAGAGTAGGGCATGGGGATCATGTCAAAACTGTTTTGCTGAACACTTAGCACAGTGTGGGCAGGTGCACTCGTAAATCACCCATCACTGAAAGAATATAAAAAAAATTCACTGAAGCTGAACACAGTCTCTCACAACAATGGTAGCTGGTACACTGATGCTGATGGCTACCGAGTGGGGAAAACCTGTACTACAAGGGGCCTCCCTCCAAAAGATAATTCTAGTTTTTCTTTGGTCCCCCCTCCTGTGCCATATCTCAAAATGTTGATTTATACTTATTATTCCTGAAGATACCTTCAAAGTTCTATAAATATATGAATAATCTCACTACCTGTGGACAAAATAGAGGTTTCAAAACTACATATTAGGATCACTCAGTGTGAAAACAATTTAAGAAAAGATACAAATATTCACTCACCAGAGAATGTATGAATAAGATAACAAATGGAATATACTTATGATTTATAAATTCACATTTATATATTATATCTTATAGTCACTCAACTGCACCTGAGCATTGTATCTCTAATTCCAGCTCACAACCATGCAGGAAAAAAAGAACTTCCTTTCCTTTATGTATTCTTGGGTGAGTTTGAACACATAAACACAATTCTAAAAATAGCTGTAAAGTATCAAATTATAAGATTTCCTTAAAGCTTTATAGTTTCTTTTTTTTTTTTTCTTTTATCATAAGCACCTTTTCTGGAAACTAGAAACAAGTATATTTTTGTTTAAATTAAAAAGCAGCTTCACTCTTTACTTTTCTACATCTATTCTGGCTGACACCTATAGACTTAGAAACAAAGTTTTATTCACCTACATAATTTTTGCTTTTTTACAAATGCATATGCAACCTTTATTGGAGAACTATACTACTTATAACTATCTTCTAAACTTTTAAGGCCTATGTTCATTCACAAAAAAATTAGCTTGTAGTGAACATTGTGATGGAAGGCTAAGAGTTTTGGAGATGGGTGTTGGAGGGGAGAACATTCAGCAATCCCTCCTCACATTTCTCTCTCTTTTCTTAAGAGACTAGGGTACTTTTATCTATGTTTCTACCTCTCTTCGTTCCACTCCTTTTGGGCTTCCTACTTTAAGAAGAGAAATTAATAATCTCATTATTTATTGGGTTATGTTTAAGAGTGAGCACGGATACTATGTTCCAAAACTAGAGGAAACCAGGCTCTAGCCCTAAGACTCTTTCACTCTGCTCTCATGTGAACTCTTCTTTCTGCTCACTCTTCTGCCCCTGAAGTGGAGGGCCTAGGTTTTAATGGATTAATAAATACTAGAGATGGACCTTACAGACTCTAATTTAGATGCTGTCATTTTTGTTTTAAATGCTTCTTGCCTTGCACTGTACCATTGCCATGTTAAAAACCACAATTCTGAGACCCAGCACTGTACTTCTTGCAAGATTCCACTCTTGGTAGCAAGCCACTTGTAGCCGTGACTCCAAAGTTTGCTTGCCTGTAAGTCCCATGGCGGCAGCCAAGTTCCCATGGGTTCTGCTTTTCATCGTGGAGCAAGGAAAAACCTTGAACTAATCCACACTTTCTGTTGCCAAGCTCCTCTTTTTCCAAAAAGGACTTTGATTTCATAAGAAATCTGAGTCCATGAGTATAGCGTTAGTAACACTAATTTCCAGTTTACATTTCTCCTGAGACATAGGCTGAGCTTCATAAATTGGGCTTCATAGGCTATCTCAATTTAGTAAGCTGACATAGAGCTGTTTAATATTCACTCTCCATCTGATAATATCCAGTCTTAAACAGCACATTCTCCTCAAAATTGACATTCCATCAGTGTTTATTAAGTGTCTACTACATGCAAAACACTGTGAAGTTAAATATAAGAAGCTATGACACAGAATATAATGAAGCAAGAACTTAATACACATATTCCACTTCATATGTAAATATTTTAATTGTCACTAATGTAGGCTAGGGTAATAACACTTTCTCTTGCCAGAAACTTAAATAAGAAAACAAACCCTATATTTCAAATTATTTATTTATTTGTTTATTTTCCTAACCACCAGACTACTAGGAAGTAAAAAACATTTAAAACATTACAGAGAAACCTAAAACTTTTTGTTGTTGTAGTTCTCATTTTCTGTAACTTGAAAAAATAATTCTAAAATTCTTCTGGAAGAAGAGCTGTAACATTTTTTGGGGAAAAAAAAGGCTGAGAACAAAATAACAAAAATAACAAAATATAACGTACAGTTTCTTCCCTTATCCTCAGGGGATCTGTTTCAAGACCCCAGTGGATACCTGAAACTACAGAGAGTACCAAACCCTACAGATATGATTTCTCCTATACATGCCTACCTATGATAAAGTTTATTAGCATAGCGAGAGATTCACAACAAACTCATAATAAAATAGAATAATTATATCAGTATACTGTACTAAAAGTTATGTGACTATGGTCTCTCTTTCTCTCTCCCAAAATAGCTTATTGAACTGTACTCGCCCTTCTTGTGATCTGTCAATCTGATAATGGAGATGGCTCCTAAGTGACTCACAGGTAGGTAGCATATACAGTATGGAGACACTGGACAAAGGGAAGAGAGGATTCACGTCATGGGCAGGATAGAGTGGAACAGTAAGAGATTTCATCATGCTACTTAGAATGGTGTGCAATTTGAAACTTATAGTTGGATATGGTGGCTCACGCCTGTAATCCCAGCACTTTGGGAGGCTGAGGTGAGAGAACTGTCTGAGCCCATGGATTTGAGATCAGCTTTGGCAAGATGGCGAGATCTCATCCCAACAACAAATTTAAAAATTAGCCTGGTGTGGTAGCACATGACCGTAGTTCCAGCTACTTGGAATGCTGAAGGAGAAGGATCGCCTGAGCCTAGCAGGTCGAGGCTGTGGTGGCCATGAGCGTGCCTCTGCACTCTCATCTGGGTGACAGAATGAGACTCCTACTCAAAAAAACAAAAACCAAAAACAAAACAAAAAAAGTTATAAATTGTTTATTGCTGGAATTTCCCATTTAATATTTTTAGACCAACACTGTTACTGCAGGTAACAGAAACTATAGATAACAAAGGATTATTGCTTATTACAAAGAATAACATACCATGTTCCCAGCCTGGAAGATTCAATGTTGTACATATTACAAAATGACACATTTGTTTCTAAGCTAATCTACAAATTCCATGTAATTCTAACTAAAAATACCAATGGCCAACATTCTCAATACTTACACATATAGTATTAAGTTTGCCATAAAGAAATGCCAAAAGCTTTGCCAAGCTGAACATCTGAAGAGAAAAGACCTGATCAGAAAACTACCTAGAATTATCCTTTGATAATATTTATTTAAATCCCTAAGAAAGAATATAAACTTAGTTATTACAGATTTTTTTTCTCCTAAAAAGTTACCTGTAAATCAAACTTCGGCATATCTTATCCTACTTCCCATTAATTTCCTATTAGAAATTGAGGATAACAAAATAAAAATTATCCTTAATGTTACAATAAACTATTTAAAATTACATTTTAAAGGAAAATAATTCCTTGCTAGAATACTGGAGAGTTTGCCAAGACTCCAGATAAAATCTTAAAATATATTACTTATTATTTGTGTACCAAACAAAATAACTTAGAAGCACAAAACAAGAACTACCAAAATTTGACTAAAAGGTCATTCAGCTACTCTTACAGGTGCAGTGCAGTGATTCTGATTAGGAGTGTGAGCTCTTCAGCCAGGCTGAAGCACTTCATCTCCATCACCAACCATATGACCACAGTAGGCTCCTTAGCCCTCTCTGCCTCCACTGCTTATCTGAAAAATGAAAATAGTAGCAATAGCCTACCTCTTAAGAGTGTTAGGAGAATTAAACAAAAAACACATGCAATACTTTTGGAACAGTGTCTGACACATAGGTCACTTATTGGTTTATGTTCATTCCCCTTCAAATATGTTATAATATAAAAAATTTGCAAAATTCTTGTTTTAGTGGCATAGCCCTTTCTGTGGTAGCTGCCAGCACATAGAAATGAGTAAGCTGATCTGATTGGTGAGGAGCCAGAGGAAGCAATTCAGGGGCAACAGTAAACTTACAAAAAACTAAACACAAGGCTAGGAGATCTAAAAGTCCAAGTCACCAAGCATCAAAAATCAAAAATTTCCTTACAAATATAACAATATAAATCAAAAAGGATATGCATTAACTGCCTTAACAAAATTCTCCCAACTTTCTCTCCTGGACTACTTTTAAAAAACAAAACAAAACAAAAATAGCATTGTAAATTTACCTATCTGTTATTACAATAATCACTTATGATAAATTTTTTATCATAAAATTAACCTACAGAAACTAACCTAATTTAGGCTCTAAGGATTCCCCAAAAATAATTTTAATAAACAACTCAGTAGATCTTTAGTTCATTCCTGAAACATATTAGAGTCTACAATTCCATTTTCAGTTTGGATAAAGTACAAAAATATGTAGCCAGACACAGATATATGTGGTTATTACTTTTTCCCCCAAAGTTATTCTACAACAACGAGAAAACTGAACAATATTTGTACAAATACCTCTTGAAATCAAGCTTGATGCCTTTATTGCTTTTCATAACTTCAGCCAGCCACTCCCATAGAGTATTATCACTGCTTGTTTCGGGAGGATGGGCCATAATTGGTTGGCCATGTTCTGATGCATCACTTGAAAGAAGAACATCAGCCTCTATCATGTGAGCAGTACCTGGTCAGATAAAAGAACTTAGGTTAATGCTAATAAAACAGGGGACAGAACTATAGGAGATGCCATATCCAATGTCCTTTTAAGAAAAATAAAAGGGAAGAAAAATAATATTTACTTGAGTAACTACTACATTCCAGGTACTATAATAGGCCCTAACATCCTTGTTTCTTTTTACAGACAAGCAAACAGGTGCCAAGAAGTTAAATTATTTTCCCTAGGTCATATAACTCTTAAGCTATTATCATACTTCTAAATTTCTTCCTAGTACCTAGCAAAGTGAGTATATAATGAGAAGCTTAGTAAGTACTGGTTGAAGTTTTCTGAGAATAAAAAAATAGTACTTTTATATTCTCACTCCTCAAATTAAAAATATGGATATCTACCGTTCATGTTTGAAGTCTAGATTTAAAAATTGTTTCTCTAACTTACAGTTTAGTAACTGCTTAAAAACATACACCCTTTGAACAAGTGCTAAGCCTCACCACTCAATGGGTGTGAATGTGTGTGGCAGACTAGTAGACAGACTCCAAAGGTAGTTGCCAACAATTCCTTCTGTGCATGCACACCCCTCTTCCTATCTATGGCCCCTCACCTTGAACTGAGCTGGTCTTGTGATGCATTGGGGTCATAAACCTGAAAGACACAATCCTGAATGCTATAAACCCAAAGACTAAAATCCTGAAAGATCAAAATCCCTAAAATCCAAAATCTCCAAAACCACAATCCCAAAAAATAAAAATACTGAAAGAATAATTCTGAAAAAATAATTTTTAAAAATTATTTAAAAGATATTTATGATCCAGCAATCCCTTTTCTGGGAATATACTTGGAGGAATTCAAATCATTCTACAAAAAAGATACCTGCACATGCATATTTATTCACAATAGCAAAAACTATTCACAAAAGCAAAAACATGGAACCAACTGTGCTACCCATTGAAAGTGGACTGGATTTTTTTTAAAAATGTGGTACATATACACAATGGAATATTATGTGGCCATAAAGGACAAAATTATGGGTTTTGTAGCGACTTGGATAAATTTAGAGTCTATCATACTCAGTGATCTATCATAGAAACAAATAACTGAGTACCACATGTTCTCACTCATAAGTGGATCCTGAACATTTACCATAATACTATAAGAAAAGGATTGGCAGTAGCAAGACACTGCCAGGGGAGTAGTGGGGGCGGGGGGCAAAACATCAATAAGGGTACCTGATCCAAAGAGAGGCCCAAATTTCACCCATATGATGACCACTTATGTGCCTAATCCTGAATTGAACCCCATCTTTAAAATAAAATTTTTTAAAAAGACATTTATTTTCATTTTTAAAGTGTATTTATTTGGAAATATATAAAAACAAGACAGAAGGCCACTTTACACAATAAAATAGGCAATAATATACATGTTTTACAAGTCACATGAGTGTAACAGTTCTGAGCAAACTGTTCATAAAGAAATAGCTTATATAACTGCAGTCATTGGAAATACTATGACTGACAACATAAGTCTTTTGACAAGATCAGCTAAAAAGTGCACATGCATGCCACCCAAGATTGCAAGAGATTGTATCTTTCACAAGGGCAGACGTACAAACAGTACATCTCTTAATTTAGTAAGGAAGTTTCAACATTTTTACATACATGCACAATGCTTATATGCAAAGTCAATGTTTTGTCAAATGTGCCAAAACTGCATAAAACAATTAGGACTCCCAAAAAGTCTTTATATAATGTACACCACCTTTTCCTTTGGAATGACAAAGATGGCACAGTGAATTATAAAAAATACTGCTGACTATTTAAACTAGTGAAAAAAAAAAACTAAAAAAATCTGATGTATAGAAAAGTATATTACAGGGATAAATTACAGGCAATACCCAGAGTAGTCCATACATGCTGGCCAACTTTCACAATCATTAAATATATTTTTAAGTTCTGCTTAGCAATGAAAAGTTGGGGGATTTTTTTGTTTTAGGGCAAGGCTCTCCTTGGAGGATATGTTCACATTTATTTTTTTATGTAGCACTGCTGTTTTTGAAATTCTTCTATAATTTGACTGGGTGTGATGGCACACACCGGTAATCCCAGCAATTTGGGAGGCCAAGGCAAGAGAATTGCTTGGCCAGGAGTCTAAGACCAGTCTGGGCAACATAGTGGGGCCTTGTCACTACAAAAAATACAAAAATTAGCTGGGTGTGGTGGTGCATACCTCTAGTCCCAGCTACTTGAAAGGCTGAGGCAGAAAGATTGCCTGAGCCCAGGAGGCCAAGGTTTGGTGAGCCATGATCATGGCCCTGCACTTCAGCCTGGGTGACAGAGTGAGACCCCACTCAAAAAAAAAAAAAAAAAAAAAAAGGCAATAAAAGAAAAGAAAAGGAAGGAAGGAAGGAGGAAATTATTCTGTGATTCCATATACACCAAACATGAGTATTCCCTACTAATTCTCCATCCTCCATGCCATGCTTCTATGTTGTTTTGGGCACACACAAACCCATTTCATATACACTCATATACAGATCAGAAATGTGGTGGAAACACTGGTGATGAAAGAGCAACACCTTTGTGTAAGTGTCTTTTTATCCTAATGTGCACGTAATTATTTTCAAGCCAGTCAGTAATTTCACTGGTTTTATCATGCAAATGCAGCTTTAATTTATTAAAAATTCCTGAATTTCATCAGATGGAAGAAATGTCAATGCAGACAAATGCTGCATTTTAAAACTGAAGTTTTTGTCACTGCCATATTTCATGGCCAATCCACTCATCTGAAATTTCCAACAAATGCACAGAGCTGAATTTAAAAAAAAATTGGCAACAACTTGAAAGTCACTTTTAGAAGCCTTGATTGCATCTAATTCCAAATATGTTATTACAGTTTAGGGATTCAGTTAGACACTAGAGATTTTACACTTTAGAGATTCTGATCATTTGGGATTATGACATTAGGGACTGTGTCTTTTGGGAATATGATCAGTACCGCTTGTGACTTGCTTTGACCAACAGAAAGTAGTGGAAATAAAACTGTCATTCCAGGTGTAACCCTTAAAACACTTGGCACCTCCTATTTTCATTCTCTTGAAATCCAGACACCATGTAAAGAAATTCAGGAGCGATTACTGAAGACTAGGAGACAAAGGTGGGGAGAGAGAAGTCATGTGGAGGAGAACTAAGACTGTCTATGTAACAGACAGCAGGAAGAACAACAGAGGCAAGAAGCCCTCTGACATGTGAGTGAGCTCCTTTTAGAATTTCCAGGCCCAGCTGAGTTGTCACATGAATGTCCTCAGTCTACACTATATGGAGTGGAGGAACCACACAGTTGACCCACAAAATCATGAGAAAAAAATAAACCATTGATACTTTAAGTCAATCAGTTTGGGGGAATCTATTACATAGCAACAGATAAACAGAAAAATGTACCCAGGAGTGGAGTGTTGTCATAACAAAAGCACTAAACATGTAGTATTGGCTTTGGGACCTGATGGAGGTTAAAGAAGGCAGGGAGGGAATTGTTAACAAAAGTTGGAAGAGAGTGTGGAAATTCTAATTCAAAGCTTGAGAACAGACAAATCGTTTTATATAGCGGTAAAACTTTTGACAACACTGTCACCTGTAGCAACTGGTGGAAGATAAAAAGGATACACAAATGAATTTGTGTATTTGTGTATCTAGCTAGTGAGGTTTCCAGAGAGAATGGCAAAAGCACCAACTGGCTTCTTTTAACTGCCAATGAGAAAAGAACAAGAAGAGAGTGCTAAACTAAATAATTAACTGTTCAGATCTTAAGCAACATATAGAGGAATTATTTCTGACTCAGGACTTCCCAAATTGGAAAATAAAATTCTCACTCTCACCCTCTCCAACTGATAAAAGATTCTCAAAGTAAGGGACAGTCTCAGGCCAAAAGTCATATCTAGACTGTTGCCTGTCTTAGTATGTTTTGTAGTAAGTTTTGACAGAATATCACAGACTAGGTAATTTATAATAAACAGAAATTTAATAATTCACAGTTCTGAAGGCTGGGAAGTCCAATATCAAGGTACTACTAGCATCTAGAGAGGGCCTTCTTGCTGCATCATCACATATGGAAGGCAGAGGGGGCAAGGACAGCCACTCCCCAAAGCCCCTTTATTATAACATTAAACTCACCCATGAAGGTGGAGTCCCTATGTCCTAATCATCTCGCAAAAGCATTACATTGGCAATTAAATTTCAACATGTGTTTTGGAGGGGACAAACATTCAAACTATAGCACCGTCAGTAAAAAAGGGCCTCAGTGTCAATATCAAGCCAAAGGTACAACCATAAGACCCTTTATTAAAACCTCAGGAAGATGACGCCTCATGTAGCCACATAGCTAGATAAAAGAACTTCTAGAATCATAAGAGTGTTGTCTGCAGCACCCTGATTTGCAGACCAAAGTAAAGAAAGGCATACCTCAAAGAGATTTGGAGGAATTACTTCTGATTAAAGGAGTAGTTTATAATTTGATATATAAGAAGCCCACTGCATTTTTAAGGGAGATATATCCACTTGGACTCAAAGGGACAGAGATAGTTCAAAATGAAAAAGAAGTCTGTGGGCTCCCACATTTTTACAAGTTAAAAACAGTCTAAGAAAGTTACTCAGTTGCAAATATGAGCCTATTTCCAATAAATATACAAAAAGATGCTCAAAAACATTATTCTTCAGGGAATGCAAATCTAAACCACAATCAGACACCAACTCACACACATTGAGATAGTTACAATTTTTAAAATGTACAACTACAACTATTGGCAAAGACGTGAAAAAACTGAAATCTTTATTCACACTGTTAGTAGGGATGTAAAAAGGTGCAGCCACTTTGAAAAAGCTTGACAGTTCCTTAAAAAGTTAAACATAAGGCCAGTTGTGGTGGCTCAAGTCTGTAAACCCAGCACTTTGGGAGGCCGAGGCAAGAGGATTGCCTGAGCTCAGGGGTTTAAGACCAGCCTGGGCAATTTGGTGAGATCTTGTCTCTACAATAAATAAAAAAATAAGCTGGACATAGTAGTGCACGCCTGTAGTTCCAGTTACTTGGAAGGCTGAAGCGGAATGATCACCTGAGCCCAGGTAGAGGCTGCGGTGGCCATGAGCATGTCAGTGCCCTCCAGCCTGGGTGACAAAGTGAGACTCTGACTAAAAAAAAAAAAAAAAAAGTTAAACATAGTTATCTTAATGATCCAGCAATTATACTCCTAGACATATATGCAAGAGAACTGAAAATGCATGACCACACAAAAACTTGTACATAAATGTTCATAGTGGCAGTATTCATAGTATCAAAAAGAGGAAACCACTCAAATGTCCACTGATTAACAAATAAATAAAATGTGGTATACCCATATAATAAAATGATTCAGCTATAAAAAGGAACAAAAAACCGATGCATGCTGGAACACAGATGAACTCTGAAAACACACTAAGTGAAAGAAGCCAGTTGCAAAAGGTCACTTATGAAGGAAAAAGTACAAAGTTCGACCCTGAATTTTGATTCTGGGGTCAGAAAGTCTTTTTGAGGAAGTGACAATTTAAGCGAGAAGAAAAAGAGCTTAGCCATGAAAAGAGCCCTGAGGCTAGAGAAGATGGAATTGAAAAACACTGTGAGTTTCGCCAAGGTGAACTTGGTGAAACAGGCCAGTTTTTACAGGGCCTCCAGGTTATTGAGGTGGTTTGAAGGCACCAATTTGAAGGCAACCCATTGTCCAAATGGAGTCTGAGAAATAAAATAGCCAAGTTAGCAGGTAGAGATCACAGTATCATTTATATTACCTATAAAGCTAAGACAGAGGACACAGCTTAGCTGAGAGCTAAATGAGCCTGCTAACTTTTAACAGCCATGGTCACCCCCTGTCCAAATTTTGGAACAGCCCCTTTGAAGCAAAGTTCTAGCAAATACAAATACCCAGATGTCTGCTTCCCACTGTCCATGTGAAAGGAGAGAAGAATTGTCCAGTGCATCTGGTAGATTCGTTCCACCCAGGCAAGGACTACAAACCAAAAAATTCTCGTCACCTCTGTGGGAGGAATAAACAGTGAGGCAGGAGGCCAAAGTATTTAGGGAAAAATGTTCCTCTTGGAATCCAGAGTAGTGGAAGCAAATGTGCTTCCAGCTAACAATTATATTAAACATTTTAAATAGAAAATGATTTGAGAGAGAGAGAGAGAGTAAAAAAGGCCCGATTTATGTTTAAAAATACTTTGAATGCTAAGTGGAAAAAGAACTGGTCAGGGTCAAGTGTGGAAGCAGGAAAAACAATCTGTCAAGTTAGGGCTGACTCAAATCTTTTGGATGCTTTTGGCTACAAATAAACAGAAACTCAGATCTAGGCTAACAAAGAAATTCACCACCACATATAACTAGAGATCAGAGGTGGGGTGAGCTCTGAGTGTGGTAAGATGAGTGGCTCAGTGATGTGATCAGGGTCTCTGTGTCTCTTTTCTTCACTGTCCTTGGTGCTGTCTTCATCTTAAGGCTAATTTCATCTCATGATTGGAAGACAGCTACCAATAATCACTGGGGCTACATATTTGCACATTTCAGTTTTAAGATATAAAACTTATTTGATAGCTATACATATGAGGACTTTACTTAGGTCTGATTGAGCCAAGTTGCCCACCATGGAACTATATGAATCAACAGGAAAAATTCTAATCCACTCCTGGACCTAGAAATGGACTCAGCTTCCACATGCTTGTATGGAGTAGAAATGGATACCATAGTAAAACTGAAGTTCTTTCAGGAAGGAAGAAAGGGATTGGTGGTAGGATAAGCAGCCAATAGATGTTTGCTATGTCTCTCTTTCCTGAGACCATATTTGGATTATTTAATTATAGTGAGGCAAAATACAGAATAACAAAACACCAAGACCAATTACAGAGTTTTACACTCCCTTTATTCTCTATGAAATGCAATTCTAAGCAATGTCCAGGTCTATATAAACAGCTTCAGCCTCTGCCAAAGGTGGAATTCTTCACCCATGTGAACAGTATTGAGCCCTGATGTTTGTGTCGCTCACCTGGCTGTGGGGAGGGCAGATGCAGAGGTCTGTCTTTCAGTCTGTGGTCAAACCACTGAAAGAATCACAGGGCAACTGGATTAGCAGAAAGACAGTTGATTTGATATTTTATTATTTTCCCAGTATAAGATTGGGGAAGAGGAGTTATTGAACTATGGTATCATCCAACCCAATTTTCTACCACCAAAGTTAAGATGCGATGGGTCCAGATTTTAATTTTATTTTTTTAAAAAGGCAAGTATGATTTCTCAATAAAGTGGTGTGTAGCAAAAGATATGCAGGCATTCCATATTCTCTACCTGTGCAGGCACAAGAGTTTAGAATCCCTTGTTTAAGAGTAATAGTCACAGTCTGTTAATTCCATTTATTTCCCATAAACAGAAAAAGGAATCAGTAACTGGCAAGTGGAGGAGTCTCAGGCACCATGTAAAGTGTGTTCCTACAGTCTCCTTTGAGAAAAACAAGGGAAACTACAGTAGTAAGAGCAAGAAATCCTAGTGGCTTCTAGTATAATGATAAGGAAGATGGAGAGATGTGGACAAAATGTATTTTGGAATAGAATCACAATGATTGGATGATAGATCAGATATAAGAAATAATTAAAGAAAAGAGAGAATGGATGGCTCCCAGTCTTCTGCCTGAAACAGAAGACGGTAGTGCCATTTCCTGAGACATGAAAAATTGTAGGAAGTATAAGTTAGTAATCACAGTCAAAGTTCATTTTGGTTAAAAGATTTCACATGCATGTGAGGTCTCTAAGTGAAAACAGCAGTAAGCAGTTGGATAAACTAACATGAAGAAGACAGGAGGCCTAGCCTGGAGACATTTCTATAGGAGCAACCCATATCTTCTCCCTACTCTCCCATCCCTGGCCCTTGGGTAGGCTTTTCAAGGTGAGGGCATGCTTCTGCTTGGCAGACTGCCTGGTCACAACAGTCTCATATAACAGGGACAGCCAGACAGACAACTCTGTTTACCAGGAGATGCATTACCCTAACCAAAGGAGCTCTGGCTTGTGACCATAGCTAGACTTTGCCTTGCCTCATCAAATCCCACTCAGCAGAGCAGAAGCAACTTTTCATTACTTGTGGGCTATAATGTCAAAAAGGCTTTGTATATACTATTATTATTACAAATTGCATACTTTTTAAAGTTTTATTTCCAAATTTTCAGTTGTTAGAAACACGATTTTCTGGTTTGACTTTGCATCCTGAGATTTTCTAAATTCACCTATTTATTATAATCATTTATCTGTAGGATATTTTTTGTTTTCTATATACACAACCATATTATCTGTGAATAATAGCTTTATTTCTTCTTTTCCTCTTTTCTTCCTTTCTTTTTTCCATTTTAAAAACTTGAGGCATAATTCACATACTATAAAATTTACCCTTTTAAAGTGTACCATTTAGTGGTTTTTAGTATATTCAGAAGATTGTACAACTGTCACTACTATCTAATTTCAGAAAAATTTCACCATGCAAAAAAAAAGCCTTATATCCATTAACCTTCACTCCCTCCAATTCCTGGCAATCATTAATCAACTTTTTTCAGAAGCATCACTTTTACTAAAATTCATTTATTAAATAATCACTGTTTGGTTGCTGTTTTAGGCATTCAGGATTCAATTAACAAGACAATTTTCTTCCTTTCGAGGAGCTAAGAAAAGCAATTTTTTGTTGTTGTTTGTTTTTTTGAGTTGGAGTCTCACTCTGTTGCCCACGCTGGAGTACAATGGGACGATGACAGCTACTGCAGCCTTAACTTGCGGCCTCAAACTTCCAAGTAGCTGGAATTACAGACATGTGCCACCACGCCCAGCTAATTTTTTAATTTATTGTAAAGACAAGATCTCACCATGTTGCCCAGGCGGATCTCAAACTCCTGGGCTCAGGCAATCCTCTCATCATAGCCTCGCAAAGTGCTGGGATTATAGGCGTGAGCCACCATCCCTGGCCTAAGAAAAGCAACTTAAAAGACTGTTTTTACAGTAAAAGAAGCCCAGGTATATAATGGAGTAGGATGCAAAACATGCCTACATAAATTTTTACAATAAAACATCGAACTTCAAGGAAGTTTTCTTGCTAGACCAGGAAACTGACATCTATGCTCCCACCCTCTGATGTCGTGCTTTCATTCTCCTTTCCTGTTGCAGTCAACACTGATACTTCGCAGGAAAAGGCTGAGAAACATTGCTGTAGCGTTAATCTATATAAAGAAGGGATATACATATATGATTGCAGGTTGAATCAGTAAACCAAAGGTTTGATTTCTAGCTTTGTCATAAATACTGCCCAAGGCAATTAACTATAAATTAGTATACTACAATAGTTTCATCCATTCATTCAGCAAACATTTATTGAGTTTCTTATTAGCACACCATGAAAGACACAAAAATATGCAAGATACATAATCCTGATCTTATAAGTTTTATTCAAATCACTAGCTACCTAAGAAAGTGTAATAATAGGAGGGTTTCAAGTAAGACATACAAAGGCAAATCACTTTCAGAAAATAAGAAAATTCTTCCATTATGCAATTCATTCATTTTGTAAACAAAATGAAACCCTTCACAAAAATGTTTGTCAGCCCAGAATTGACATATGGATCAACTAAGTCTCTTATACCTGCAAATATGCCTAAATTTTTTAAAAAGTTGAATTAATATATTATCCAAAGTAAATTACAAGTAACTACACTGACTTACTTTTCAATGCCTCATTCATTTGTGCCTTGTGGTTAGCTGCATGATACCAGATAATCTCAGCGCCATCTTCTGTTGTAATCTGGTTGTTTCTCAAAAAATATTCCAGAATATTTTCACTCCAAGATCCTAAAATGACAGTATTTACATGAAAAAGCATATTTTTTTATTAGGTAAATTTTTAAAAAATAAATGTTATAGTATATATTTAAGATATACGACATGATGTTATGGGATACATAGAGAAGTCTACTATAGTGAAGCAAATCCATCATCTCACATATCCTTTTTTTTTTTTTGGTCTTTGTGGCAAAAGCAGTTAAAATATGCTCATCTAGCATGAATCCCATATACAAAACAATTTTATTACCTATAGTCCTCATGTTGCAAAGTAAATCTCAAGACTTTTTCATCCTACATATCTGATACTTTGCATCCTCTGACCTATATCTCCCTAGTTCATTTGCCTGCCAGCTCCCCAACCTCCCTGCCCCTGGTAACCACTGCTTTGTTCTCTCTCTCTAAATATTTGAATTCTTTATTTATTTAGAGACAGAGTTTCACTTTGTCATCCAGGCTGGAGTGCAATGGTGCTATCATAGCTCACTGCAGCCTCAAACACATGGGCTCAAGTGATTCTCATACCTCTGCCTCCAGAGAAGCTGGGACTACAGGCATATGCCATCACAGCTGGACAATTTCTTTTTATTTTTGTAGAAGGGATCTTGCTTTGTTGCCCAGGCTCGTCTTGAACTCCTAGTTTAAAGCAATCCTCCCACCTTGGCCTCCCAAAGTGCTGGGATTACAGGTATGAGCCACTGTGTCCAGGCTTTGAATTTTCTTTTTAGATTACACATATAACTGAGATCATGCAATATTTGTCTATTTCTGGCTTATTTTACTCAGCACAAAGTCTTCCAGCTCCACCCATGTCATGGCAAATGGCAAAATCTCATTCTTTTTTAGAGCTAAATAATATTCCATTGTATATATGTAACACAATTTACCCATTTGTCCACTGACAAACCCTTAGGTTGTTTCTGGACCTTGGCTATTGTGAATAATACTGCAGTGAACATGGGAGTGCAGATATTTTTACAGAATTGTTATTTTATTTTCTTTGTGTATATGCCCAGAAGAACTGCTGAGTCATGGGGTAAAAACTCTTTTTAACTGAAAAGGGCAGAGGATATATTGAGGAAGAATAATAAAGTAACTAGACTGGGAAAAAAAGATTTTCAAAATAGAGAATAAGTATTATGATGTGGCAAGTATACTATATATAAATGTTATATATCATTGAATGTAATAATTAGTAGACATATAGAATAGTCTGAGCATCAGAAGCATAAGAAAGTATATAGGAAGAAAATAAACTGGTAAAAAGCAAATCTTTATCTATTTTTATTATTGTTGTTATTATTATTATTAATGTATATTTTCTTTTCAGTTGGGGTCTCACATACACCCAGACTGGAGAGCAGTGGCATGATCACAGCTCGCCGCAGCCCCAACTTCCTGGGCTCAAACAATCCTCTCACAGGCATGCCCCACCATGCCTGACTAATGTTTTTATTTTTTGTAGAGATGAGATCTCACTATATTGCCCAGCCTGGTCTCAAACTCCTGGGCTCAAGTGATCCTCCCGCCTTGGCCTCCTAAAGTGCTGGGATTATAGACATGGGCCACTACACCTGGCCAGAAGCAGATATTTAAAAGTGGAATATTTCATGATATTCTCTACAATTCTGGCTCCATAAATATAAATAAAATTTATAAAAGACCAAAACTATATGAAATTCTAAGTTTTATATAACTTGTTTTCCCCACCGGAAGCCCCATTCTATATATATATTAACAACTTAGAATTTAAATTACATTTTATTGCATATTCACCTTCAGATTATTCGTAACAAGATTTGAGTGATCAAGTAAACTCTTGAATTAGTATTCATAGATTTATCTATCTATAATTCTATCTTATCTATAATTCTCTTATCTGTCTACTTTTGGCATATCAGATTTTCTTAATTAAGCATTAAAATCTGTAAGTTAACTGAGACTAAGGTAAGTGCTAGCAGAAATAACTGAATGCAGAAATACTCCCTACTATACTATACCTTAAAACAACAATGAGAAAAAGCTGAAAAAAGTTGTCCATAATTTCCCCCCCCATTCTTGTTCAACCATTTAAATGTTTATTAAGTGCTTACCAAGTGGCTGCAAATTCTCCATGCATAAGATTCTGTCCTGTTAATTATAATATGAACTCTGTCTAAGACAGGTAAAAGTCTAAAAATGGCTATCAGAAACTGCCAATAAAACATTGAAAAATCCAGCTACTTGGAAGGCTGACGCAGAAGAATCATCTGAGCTCAGCTAGTCGAGGCTGCAGTGGCCATGAGCGTACCACTGCACTCCAGCCTGGGAGACAGAAAGAGGCTCTGACTCAAAAAAAAAAAAAAAAAAATTGAGAAAAAGTAAAATTTGATCAGAGAATAGAGGGGTATATAAAAATAAATTCTAACCAACATATATATTTTGACTATTGAGCTACAGAAGACAATAAAAGTAGGCCGGAGGATCTACTATCCTCAAGCAGTCTCCTACTCAAAAACACTTAGATACTACTTGGCATAAGAAATAGAGTCACACACCTTTCGCACTTAAATGACAACACATGGTCATCATTTTGTTAGTTAATGATGTATAATGGTTATCTCCAAAGCACCTTTGAACTAAGCACACAGCATTCAGAATTTTTATAAAGGCAACTTACAGATTAATAATAAGATATCATGACTCTAGAATTCAAAAATACCTGAAGAAGTTCTCTTTGCCCTATACTGGGTAAAAGTACTAGTTTGTACTTAAAGCACAACTGTATATATCTTAAAATATAAGGAGGATCCAATTACCTAAGATTTAGGGTACTAGTATTAGAATTTAAATAAGCTGTAACTCTGAAAATAGGTTAAGAGAAAGACAAAATTAGTAGCTTTTTTTTAACTTTCAGGGCAGGCCAAAGACATGCCCAGGAAATTTTTATTCTAAATTGTACTAGCTTTCTATTGCTGCCATAAAAAATTACTACACACTTAGTGGCTTAAAACAATTCAAATTTACCATATCATTCTATAGATCAGGAGTCCAACATGTGTCTCACTGGGTCAAAACCAAGGCATTGGCAGGACTGTGTTGCTTTCTGGAGGCTATGGGAGATAATCCATTTTCTTGCTTTTCCAGCTATAGAGGTCACCTGCATTCCTTGGCTCACAGTCTGCTCTCTGCTTCTTTAAAGCCAGCAACATAACATCTCTTTGACCCTGCTTCCACTGTCACCTCTCTTCCTCTGTCTTCTTTTACCTCCTTTCACTTTTTCCCCCCGTACTTTGCATTTTTATTTGAATTATTATTCTTTTTAACTTTTAAATTTTTTTATTTTACAATTGTTAGGTACAAGTCGGGGTTAGGTATACAAATATTCATTGTGCAATTACCTTTGTTGATGAGGTGTGTCCCCCACCTTCCTCAGGGAACATTTTTTAAAAATTGAGACTTTTTGAGCAGTTTTGAGACTTACAGAAAAAACTGAGCAAAAAGTACAGAGTTCCTCCCAATTTCTCCAGGGTTTTTTTTTGTGTGTGTATGATTAAAGAAACTTTTTATTTTAAACTTCCCAATGTTTAATATCTTGCATTAATGTGGTATATCTGTAACAACTAATGAGTCAGTACTGACATATTATTAACCAAACTCCACAGTTTACATTATTATTTACTCTTAGTATTATACATTCTATGAGTTTTGACAAAGGTACAGGCATACATTGGAGATATTGGAGGTTCTATTCCAGACCACCATAATAAAGCTAATATCCCAATAAAACAAGTCACAGGAATGTCTTGGTTTCCCAAGTTATGTTTACACTATCATCTATTAAGTGTGCTATAGCATTATGTCTAAAAGAATAATGTGCATACCTTAATAAAACAATACTGCTAAAAAAAAAAGCTAACAATCATCTGGTCTTCAGCAAGATGCAATCCTTTGGTTGGTGGGGGGTCTTCCCTTGATGTTGATGGCTGCTGACTAATGACAGTGGTGGTTGCCGAAGGTTGGGGGCTGTAGCAACTTTTTAAAATAAAACAACAATGAAGTTTGTCACATCAATTGACTCCTTTCAGGAATGGTTTATCTGTAGCATGTGATGGTGTTTGATGGTATCTGACCACAGTAGAACTTCTTTCAAAATTGGAGTCAAGCCGGGCTTGGTGGCTCAGCCTGTAATCCCACACCTTTGGGAGGCTGAGGTGAGTGGATTGCCTGAGCCCACGGGTTCGAGACCCGCCTGGGCAATGAGACCTCATCTCTACAATAAAATAAAAAAATTAGCCAGACGTGGTAGCGCACGCCAGTAATTCCGGCTACTTGGAAGGCTGAGGTGGAAGGATCGCCGGAGCCAGCAGGTCGAGGCTGTGGTGGCCAGGAGCAGCCACTGCAGTCCAGTCTGGGCGACCGAGTGAGACTCCAACTCAAAAAAAAAAAAAAATTGGAGTCAATCCTCTCAAAGCCTGAAGCTGCTTGATCAACTAAGTTTATGGAATATTCTAAATGTTTTTCTATCATTTCAACAACGTTCACAGCATCTTCACTAGGAGTAGACACCATCTCAAGAAACCACTTTCTTTGCTCATTCATAGGAAGCAACTCCTCATCCATCAAGTTTTATCATGAGAGTACGATGAATCAGTTACATCTTCAGGCTTTACTTTAATTCTAGTTCTCTTGCTATTTTCCCCACATCTGCAGTTCATTCCCCCATTGAAGTATTGAACCCCTCAAAGTCCTCTACAAGGGTTGGAATGAAACTCTTGTTCATGTTGATATTTTGACCTACTCCTGTGAATCATGAGTGTTATTTATTTATTTATTGAGAAAGCAGGATTTATTGAGAAGACAGAAAAGTTCTCAAAAGGGTTAGACCCAAAAGGGTTGCCCCATGAATGTTATTAATGGCATTCAGAATGAATCATTTCCAGATTTTCACTTGACTTTGTGTTGAGAGCTGGCCACGGAGGCCCACTGAGCGTTAGGGATCAGGGAAGGCCGTGGACCCCGAGACCACTAGAATGTGTTCGGGAGCTGTTGACCCCATTCCCTCCTACCTTTTTCTATTTGGCACACTCAGCCAAAAGGATCTCTGCTGACCTAAGCTGAAGGCTCTATGACTATGACAGGCATGCCTAACTTTAGAAACTCATTGTTCCTGCTTCCCATGAACTGCGATTTCAGCTTAGATCTTAGACACAGTTCAAACTTGGGTCACATTTGAGAAGCCCTATTGCTGGTGACAAGCTCTATATATTAGGATTAGGACTTAGAAATTTTTATAGAAGTTAAGATAGATATATAGGATTTTAGAGTAGCCATTTTGTTAAGAGATTGTAATCAATAGTTCTGAGAAGTGGCCCACTGTGAACTTTGGACTGGGCCACATTTGGGAGAGCCCAGTGTGATCTTTGGGCTGGGCTACATTCTTTAGGAACTGGTTTGAGCTATAATTAAGAGTTTCCATAGCAATTGTGTAAGTAGAAATAGCATAGAACAGAAAGGTAATAGGATTTAAGTTAGTGAATGCATAAGCTTTAGAATTATTGATTATTAGAACATCATGATGTAAGTAGGGATTGTTGCATTGCTTTTTAGGAACACTAACCAAGCATAAGGAACAGTAAGATAATTTTGGAATTGTTCTTCCTCATGCTTGAGGAAACATCTGGTGGGGGGGGCGCCCCTCATCCACCTGGCTTTGTGTTCACGTGAAAGTCTTGTGATTTTGCTTGTGAAACTTTAGGATAAAAGGCTTACGGTTTGTCCCATTAAATGGCTTCTGCTCAATCTTGAACAGTTGTCCAGTCTTTTCTTTTCTTTTAATATCTATCCCTCCCACAGAATCGCCGCCGCCATCACATCTTCCAGGGACCCCCGATCTCTGCAGGGGCTGGCCCCCCGCAACTTTGCCCATCAGAGGAATGATTGTTATGGCAACTAAATCCTTAAAAATGTATTTCTTTCTTTTTGTTTTTTTGGGTCGGAGTCTCACTCTGTCGCCCAGGCTGGAGTACAGTGGCACACTCATGGCCACCGCAGCCTTGACCTGCTGGGCTCAGACGATCCTTCTGCCTCAGCCTTCCAAGTAGCTGGAACCACAGGTGTGTGCCATCATGCCTAGATAATTTTTTTCAAATTTATTGTAGAGATGAGGTCTCGTCAACCCGTGGGCTCAGGCAATCCTCTCACCTCGGCCTCTCAAAGTGCTGGGATTATAGGCATGAACCACCATGCCCAGCCAAAATATATTTCCTAAATAATGAGACTTGAAAGTTTAAATTACTCCTTGATCCATGAAGGATGAATGTTGCATTAGTAGGCACGAAAACAACATCAATCTCCTTGTACATCTCCACCAGTATTCTTCAGTAACTAGGTGCACTGTCAGTGAACAGTAATATTTTGAAAGGAATGTTCTTTTCTGAGCAGTATGCCTCAATGGGCTTAAAATATTCAGTAAACCATGCTGAAAACAGATGTGCTGCCATCCAAACTATGTTGTTTCATTTACAGAGGACAGGCAGAGTAGATTTAGTGTAATTCTTAAGGGCCATAGGATTTTTGGAACGGTAAATGAGCACTGGCTTCAACTTAAAGTCACCAGCTGCATTAATCCCTAATAAGAGAGTCAACTTGTCTTTTGCAGCTTTGAAGACAGGCATTGGCTTCTGTATAGGAGTGCAACTGTCTTTTGCACATTTATTTTGTACCCTGAGACTCTGCCAAAGTTTTTTATCAGTGCAAGCAAGTTTTTGACAGATTCTATTGGATTTTAAAATAAAATTTTAAAAGAAAGTTTACTGACTCCTGGACTAGGCAATTACTAAGATTCCTACTAGCTTCCAAAAGTGACTATCAGAAGTAATTTACCAGTAAAAATGCCATATATCCACATAAAAACTTGTACACAAATGTTCACAGCAGCATTATTCATAATAGCCAAAAGATGGAAACAACCTGAATGTGTGTCAACTGATGAACAGATAAACAAAATGTGGTATATGTATAACATGGAATATTATTTGGCTATAAAAAGGAATGAAGTACTGACACATGCTACAACACAGATGGACCTTGAAAACATTCATGCAAAGGGAAAAAAACCTGACATGAGAGGTCACACATTGTATGATTCCATTTACATGAAATCTCTAGAATAGACAAATTCATAGTGATATAGTGATAGAAAGTAGAATAGCGGTTGTGTGCTGTGGGCATTAAAGGGTGGTGAAGGTGTTTCTTTTTGTGGAATGAAAATGTTTTAAAACTGATTGTGGTAATGGCTGACATGTCTGTGAATAAGTTAAAACTCAGCAAATTATATTCTTTAAATGGGTGAATTATATGGTATGCAAATTATATAGCAATACAATTTTTTTTTTTTTTGAGTTGGAGTCTCACTCCATTGCCCAGGCTGGAGTGCAGGGGCATACTAACGGTTGCCCCAGTGTCAACCTGCTGGGCTCTGGCGAACCTTCCACCTCAGCCTTCCAAGTAGCCGTAACTACAGATGTGCGCTGCCATGCCTGGCTAATTTTTTATTTATTGTAGAGACAAGGTCTTGCCAAGTTGCCTGGGCTGGTCTTGAACCTGCGGGCTCAGGCAATCCATTCACCTTGGCCTCCCAAAGTGCTAGGATTACAGGTTGAGCTACTGAGTCTGGCCACAATACAAATTTTTAAAAGGGAAAAATTTTAAAAATACATCTATGGTTTGACACAGAAATTCCATTTCTATAAATTTACTCCATAGACAGATATGCTTATATGTAGGAAATAACACATTTCATACAAGAATATCTATTGCACTATTTTTTGTAATGGCAAGAGTGAAAATCTAAATGTCCATCAATAGTGAATTCAGTAAATTATTGTATATCTATACAATGAAACTATGCAGTCATTAAAAATAAGGCAACTATATATGTAGTAATATGATCTCAAAGATATATTGTTAAGTGATAAAAAGAGGTGGAGAACAATATTTATAGGTACTACAGTAAGAAGAAGAATGAGTCCTCAAAAATGTCCACTTTCTAATCCCTGGAGTCTATTAATGTTACACAGAAAGGAGGGAATTAAGGTTACAGATGAAATTAAGGCTGCTAATCAGACGACCTTGAGATGGAGGAGATTACTCTGTATTATCCGAGTTTGCCCAATTAATCATAAGGTTCTTATAAGTGAAAGAAGGAGGCAGGCGAGTCAGTGTCAGGTGTGAGGTGTGAGAAAGATCTCAACCAACCATTTCTGGGTTTGAAAATGCAGGAAGAGACCAAGAGCCAAGGAACACAAGCAGCCTCTAGAGGCTAGTAATGGCAAGAACACTCATGCTGCCCTAGGCCTCAGAAAAAACACAGCCCTGAAGACACTTTGATTTTAGCCCAGTGAGATCCTTCAGACTTCTGAATCTCAAAACCACAAATAATAAACGTTTGTTGCTCTAAGTCACTAAAAAGGAATGCTATAAAAAAATAATTTGTATGCTTAAAAAGGAGAAAGACAAAAAAAGAGATGCACAGTAGACAGTGGCATGTATATAAAATATCTCTGGAAGAATATACATGGAATAGTAACAGTGGACGCCCGTGTGGAGGGAAACTATTGGTTGGGGGGATGGGATGGAACATTTCGCTATAAATCCTATTGAACCTTGTGTACTATTTAAAGAATGTATTACTATTTTTTTTTACGTTAAGGGAATAGAATGAGTCATATGATGAAAGAATCCGGTTAACAATTAACCTCACTAATAACTCGGTAATGAGAATATAACTTATTTATTTTTCACTTGAATACATTATTTTATTCCAAAATTTTGTAAGCCTTGTATCCAAGGATTTTACTTAAATTGACTTTTAAAGAGAATGGTTAAAGTCTTGAGTGTGAGCTTTGCTTCAGATTTGGATTTTTAGAAAACCAAGGATTTATATCGAAAAAAGGATTTATACTGAGAAGTAAGAGCCCAGCTCCTCTGGCCGTGCACCAAGAGCTGAGCAGAGCCGGCCACGCCCCTACCTGCATTCCCAGCCCTCGCCTAGTTCCCAGGGAGGGGCAAGACTGATCGCAGGCTCCTCCCACTCGGTCTGCAGAAATTAAGGATCAGGGACGGGTCACTCTCTTTTCATTTCAACAGACGCCTTCAACAGCCCTGCCATCCTCGCGCCGTCGATCTGGGTACTCTGAAAGCGAACCCGGCTTCCTCCTGGACCCGGGAGATGCTCGGCTCCCAAGTGGGCCCCCAGGCGGACTATCAGGTGAATTCCCAGGTAGGCTCCAGGGCCGATGTGAAGACGGCGGGACCGGAAAGGGAAAGCCGACAGCGGGGTCTCTCACAGCGCCGCCACAAAGAGGCGGAGGCCGGAGAAGGCGAGAGCCGCCACGGGGACGCGCGCTTACCGGGGCCTCGCGCGAGGGTTGCCATGGGAACGGACGTCCGCAGTCTGCGCAGGCGCCGCAAAGCGGTCTCCGGCGGCGTGGAGACCCGAGTCCACACACCGCAGGCTGCGGGCGGGCCACGACCCGGGGCCTAGACCGGAAAGGGTAGTGCATTAGTGCGCACGCGCAAAGGTTGCAGGCAGGGGAACGGCTGGGGCCGGGGGCGAGGCCGGAGGGGGCGGAGCCGGGGCGCGCATGCGTAGAGGTCAGGGTCGAGTTAGGAGCGGCGTCTGTTGTGCCGGTGTTGCCTGCTGATGTTTTGAAAGCTTCAGAAAACGGTGGTTGTTCTGAGGGAAGAACGCTACGTTAGGGAGTGCGGCGGCAGGTGAAGCCCCAAGATGAAAACAGCTGGTGGTGTGGGAAATTTCCAGACAAAGCTGGAAATGCTTTCTTTTTTATTTAGTAGCGTCCTAAGGAGATGTGCGTTTCCGCACCGAGACGCCGAGCAGCACACACAAGGTCCCTGGTCTCTCCTCCAGAGACAACTCGGAGCGCCGCCGGCGGCGGGTCTCTGTGCCCACTGCTCTCCAGCCCCCTGGCTTCTTCCTTCCGGACGCCAGCCTGCTGCAGGGAGAGGTCAGACGACCTGGATGGCGACCGGGCGCGCACGGATACATTCCCGACACATACTACCCATGGCAGCTATGCTTGCCTCAGCTCCAGATGGTAACATCTGTCGCCCCCAGTCACCCTCCATTCCCTTTCTCAGCTCTAGCCACCGCCAGTCTACCTTCTAAGTATTCGCCTGTTCGCGACAGTTTACACAAATGGAATCGTACAGTATATGGCATTTGTGTCTGGTTTCTTTCACTTAGCATCATGTTTTCAAGGTTCATCCATATTGCTACATGTGTCAGTACTTTTTCCCTTATTATGTTGCAATAAATTCTGTTGTCTGCATAGACCACATTTGTCCGCTCATTAGTTGAGGAACATGTGAGTTGTTTCTACTTTTTTGCCTGTTATGAATAATGTTGCTATGATTACTCATGAACAAGTTTTGTGTGGATGTATATGAACACATTGTGTACATTCCTGAGAGTGGAGTTGCTTGTTTATATAGTAACTCCATGTCTAACTGTGTGGAGGAACTGCCAGTTTGCAAAGCCGCTGCACAATTTTACCTTTCCACAAGCAGTGTATGAGGTTCCACTGGTTATTGTCTTTTTAAAATTATTAATACTTGTTATTCTCATTACCGAGTTATTGATGAGGCTAATTCTTAACCAGATTCTTCCATCATGTGACTCATTTTTTTTAAGATTATAGCCATCTAGAGGATATGACATAGTACTTCATTGTCTTGATTTGCATTTCCGTACTAATGTTTAGCATATTTTCAGGTGCGTCTTGGTCATTTATGTATTTTCTTTGGAAAGATGTATGTTCACATCCTTTGCTCATTTTTTTTTTTTTGGATTTTTTTATTTTTGGCTTGTGAGAGTTCTTTATATAGTCTGAGTACAAGTCCCTTAACATATATGATTTGCAAATATTTGCAACATTTTCTCCCATTTTGTAGGTTCTTTTCATTTTTCTTGATAGGACTGGTTGCAGTACAAAAGTTTTAGTGACTCTGTATTTTCATAGATTGTACAGTAACTGACTCAATTAGAATTACTCTTCATTATTTTTTAGAGCTGCATACTGATGTGGCATGACATGATGTCTGAAATTTGCTGAAAAATACTTAAGCAAAGAAATAAAGGGATAGATGAAGCAAAAGGGAAAAATCTTGATCGTGTTAAATCTGAGGATTGTTGTAGGATGGGTATAAAGAGTTTCTGCTTTCTTTACTTTTGAGTGTTTGGAAATTTTATAGTAAATATTGGTCTGATTACCTTTTTTTTTTGGCACAAAGAAAGGATTTCATAAGTTAAAGCCATGATGCATTGAAGAAAGAATAGCAGATACCCATAGCTTTCAGAGGATTAGAATGTGAAAGATGGGCATCAACCTGACTCTAGGGCTGCTTTTGGTGACATCTAAATAGGAATAAATAATACTGGTTCTGGTTGCCCCCAACTGGGTAGTGGTGGTGAGATAATGTGTATAGAGGATTAAGAATAAGAGGTGACCCTTTGATCCATAACTCACTCATGAATAAGATTGTAGCTGACCTTAGAATGTAGTTAATTTCCCATCAGCATTTAATACACACACACACACACACACACACACACACGTGTGTTTTGTTAAGTGTTCTGTGAGCCCAATTGCTAGTTCAACAATTATAAAGCAGTCTATATTTACTCTCTGGGCGCTTCCACTTTTTTTTTTTCCTTTTTGAGATAGGGTCTTGCTATGTTTTGCAGGCTGGAGTATAGCAGCTGTTCACAGGCATGATCATAGCTCACTGCAGCCCCGAACTCCAGGGCTCACATGATTCTCCCACCTCAGCCTACCAGGTAGCTGGGACTACAAGCACACAACATGGTGCCTGGCTTACATATGCCTACACTGATGCTTGTCTCGGTTTATTCTGCAGTTGAGTGAAAATTTTCCTATGAAAAGATGTTTGAAAGTAACCTGTCAAGTTGTAGTCTTTACAATATATTCTCTCTTGCACATAACTTAATGCAAACCCAGGGATTCCACTAATTATAAATTTCCCAAACTGTGATTTAAAACAAAACAAAAACATAATTCACTGAATTTTTAATGGTCTTTGGGAAAGAAGTTAGTCAAAGGGTTTTGAAAGTGTATTTTGCGTATCACTTTTTAAAAAATTTAGGTGGTACATGTGAAGAATACAGGGGTATATCGTACAATGGTATCTCTGTTATTCAGACTGGGTAATTTATGCCAATGTATCTTCAAATTCACTGGCTCTTCCCTCAGTCATTTCCATTCTACTGTTGAGACCCTCCAGTAAATGTTTGTTATTGTATTTTCAGTTCTAACATTTCCTTGACTCTTTTTATAGCTTCTATGTTGAGGACATTTAGTTTCCCATTTATTTCAACAGTGTTTATCCTTCCTTGGTGGAACATGATTAAAATAAATCTTTTCCTGATAATTGTGACATTTGGATAGGATAACTGTAGACTTGGCAGTTGTCCATTATATTTTCCCTTTAGAGTTTAGGTTTCACCAGTTCTCTGGATATCAAGTAATTCTGGATTGTTTCCTGAATACTTTGAATATTATGAGATTCTCTGTTCTGATTAAATCTTCATAAAAATGTTTTTTTGTTTTGTTTTAGCAGACCATCAATCAGTCTAGTTAGTTTCAGACCACACATCCTGGTCCAGCTTTCAGTGGGCTGTAGTTCCAATGTTAACTGGAATATTGCAAGTGAATTTGAGTTTTGTCCCACAACCTTTAACCTCCTTTCTGGTATTCTAACAAAAGAGAACAAATTGTTTCTTAGACTCTTTTTTTCTTTCTCTTTTAATTATAGGCATGTGGGGTACAGTTAAGGATTAACTACATAAGTACGCTACATGCAGATGAATTTTGGGCTTCTAACTGGCCCTCACTCCCCCTGGTAATGAACCGCATACCCTTTGTGTTTTCACATGCCTCCCACTCTCTTCCCTCCCTCCCTTCCCTAGCAGTGCCCAGTGACTGCCGATCCCTCCCTTGTGCCAATGTGACTAATGTTTGAGGAACACTTATGAGAATATGTAGTTTTCAAATCTTTGTGCTGTGATAGCTTGTTTCTTAGAATCTTTTTCTCTGTGTCAACTAGCAGTTCCAGTTTTCCTGTGAAATATCTGAGTGGACTTTTAATTTATTGTTTGGGATTTGTCTGGCTTCTGAAATCTGTAGAATCATGTTTTTAATCAGTTTTTAATCAGTTCTGCATTATATCTTAAAATATTTGGTCTGTCCTATTCCCACCTCTTCTCTGGCAGCCAATTAAGCACACTGTAATTTCTCACTGTATTCTCTATATGTCTTCTGTTTTGTTTCTGTTCTCCAAGTTGCACTTTGGCTAATTTTTCCTGAGTCATTTTCCAATTTATATTGGCTGTGTTCTATTCTTCATTAAACCAATTAATTGAATTTTAAATATACAGTTTTTATATACTCTTGCAATGTTTGTGTTATTTTCCACATTAGTTCCATTCTTTTGTAGTTTCCCATTTTCTGCAGGTACCTCCACACCTGGCTTTATTCCCTTAAGCATTGAAAACATAAATCTAATACATAAGAATACATGAATTTGTTTTCATTGTTTAAACTATTATTAACTCTGGAGTCTAGTATCTTTATGTGCCTGCTTGTTTCACTGCATGTAAACATTATATTTGAAAAGTAATTTGAGGCCTGCAATTAAATTATTATTGTTTTTTTTTAGTCGGAGTCTCACTCTGTAGCTCAGGCTGGAGTGCAGGGACATGCTCATGGCCACCCCAGCCTTGACCTGCTGGACTCAGGCAATCCTTCTGCCTCAACCTTCCAAGAACCACAGGTGCATACCACCAGCATTTTTAAAATTTGTTATAGAGATGAGATCTCACCAAGTTGCCCAGGCTGGTCTTGAACCCCAGAGTTCAGGCAGTCCTCTCATCTCTGCCTTCCAAAGTGCTGGGAATATAGGTGTGAGTCACCACACCCAGCTGAAATTACTTTCCTATGGAGATAATTTACATTTTATTTTTTCTGGTACCTAGAGGCATCGCCAATGTGGAAATAACTTAATGCTTAAGATTCTTTGGATTATTTAGGCAATTTTAAACTTGTCTATTTTACATAGGTTCTTCTACTTCTGGTTTATCATCATCCTAAGGGTGAAACTGTTTGAGAGTCTCAGCCTATTGTGGGAGAATCTCCTATTAGATTCACAACCTTAACTAGGCCCCAAACTTTGAATCCTATCCCCTTCACTCATGAAGTTGTCACAGTAGGAGCCCATGCTCACTTAATTTTTTGTTTTCTCATTACTTTTGCTTAAAATTTACTATTGTCTCAAAATCTCTTTGATGTTTTAAAATTATTCTTTTATTTTAATCAGCATTGGTTGTTTTTAACAGGAGCATGATGTAAATACCCTAGCATGCAATTTTCAGAAACAGTTTCCACAACTGCATCTTCTTACATGGCCAAATCTATTATTTCCCTTGGTATCCTCTGCATTAGCACATATTACTGATGGCATGGAATCCATAAATGTTAATAAGAATTATGTCTAATTCTGTTAGAAAATTAATAGTTTTTAGAAAATTTTACTTAGAAACCTAATAAAGCACTCTGCATATAGCATATACACAGACACAAAGTTGGATAATTGCATTGAAAAATTGGGCTAGATTTTACTTCCTATTTCAAAATTCAGAGAAAGAGAGAAGTATTAAATAAAAGATGTAAGGAAAAAAGTAGATCACTGCATACTGAGTACAAAGAGCCATTCTATTCCTTCACCTTTAAAAAACTAAAATTTCAAATTAAGTACCAATGTGAAGAATGTGACAAAACAAAACATGCTTTCAGAAACATTTATACAACTAAAAAGAGTACTTTAAAATATATCTCCAGGCCAGGTGTAGTGGCTCACGCCTATAATCCCAGCACTTCGGAAGGCTGAGGTAAAAGGACTGCCTGAGTCCACAGGTTCAAGATCAGCTTGGGCAACTTGGCGAGACCTCATCTCTACAATAAATTAAAAAATTAGCTGGGCGTGGTGGCACATGCCTTTAGTTCCAGCTACTTGGAAAGCTGAGGTGGAAGGATCCACTTGAGCCCAGGAGATTGAGGATGCAGTGGCTGTGAGCGTGCCACTGCACTCCATCCTGGGCAACAGAGTGAGACTCTGACTCAAAAAAATAAAATAAATAAAATAAAATGTGCCTCCAAACTTGAGGCGCATAATTCCAATTCTTATTGGATGCAGAAACAAAGCTACCCCATCATGGAAAAGCCCTCCACCATTTGTTTATTTTAAGGTAAATAGCATTCATAGAGTGTACAACTATTAATGTTGCAAAATACACACATTGTATAAAGAAAACATACATTTGGTTTGATATGCAGTTTTTTTTATCTTGAACCATTTTAATCAATTTCACAAGTTATTACATGTTGCCATTTTATTTAATACCTGCAACATTTTACATTGTTTGTGAAGTAGCTAGCTATTTCCAGAGGCTGATATTCTCTTCCAAACTGTGTCTTTGGCTATTACTATATAAGTGATTCAGTCAGAACTATAAGCCCAAACTGATTAAAATTCTCAGACTCTCCTAGCTTCAGACTCAGATCCTGAGTTGTAACTTTGACTTGATCTTCCAGTTGAGATGCTTCATAAATATTTTTCTTAAAATAGGGCTCTTTAGTGTTGTTTCTTTTTCTTGAAATATGAGTTTTTCTGATACAAAACATATATATTCCACATGAGAATTTTAAAAGCATCAAAATAATGATTAAATTTTATATAACTTAAATGACAGGACTTTAAATATGTCCTTAACTTTTTTTTAACTGTTTGAAGAGGAAAACTGTGTAATAGTTTCAAATACATAGAATTTAACTTGTTAATATCGTTATAAAAAATACCATTTAATGAATTTAAAATATGAAAAAATTAGTTTGCTAAAATGTATACTTAGTATATTGGTATCAATGAAAATATGCAGAGTTGTCAAGAAATTTCTAAGGATTACAGTGGAAGTAAAAAAAAAAAAAAAAAACAACAGTTTCAGTCTTGATTTATTGCTACATATGACTACTTCAAGGGTCATCTGGCCTGTCGTCAATCACTCTTAACAGTGGTAAATTACAGTGGTTTACTCTGGAAGGACGAAAAATAATGCATTGTGATATAAAAATATTACCTATATATAAATAATTAAAGATTTACAAAACACATTCAGACTCATATGTTCTTACTATAAAAACAATATAGTTAAATATAGAAGCACAGAATCCTGAAGCACCCACAAGTATTTTAAGAATATTCATTTAATCAGAAAAAATCTATATATATGTATGTATATCTGTACATACATACATATATACACACACATACATATATATTTAATAATTTGAGAAGAAAAGGCAAAATTCTGATTTTAATTCAAAGTTTACCCTATCATGGAGGTAGGTCTCTACTCCAATTATACAAACAAGTTACCAGCTTTATTCAAAAAATTGTAAGTCTAAGATCTTGCAACTGGCCTCTGCCGTTGAAATACATTTTTGACAGACTTTAGAAACCAGTATTCTAACTGGCATATACACAAAACAGATATTTCCTTCACAAGGTTACATCTGAAAAGAGCCTTCATTAAAATCATTCATGGAATAAAGAGGTATACCTAAGTGCAGATACTTTGGCTTAGCATTTAAATAACACAGTAAATGCTACAAATTTATTAAAGACAGAAGAAATCCTTGTCTTTTTAGTACTTATTGTAAAGCTTCAAAAACTATGGATGTCTTCAATTTTTATATATTTAAATAGTGTGCTAATGATTTGAAAAGATCACTTCTGCCTAAAAAGCAAAGCTTATGTGTTTCAAACATCTACTTTTAGTGTTTGGGGCATTTTCACTTTAGTGCTGGAATTAGTTTTAACAAATCAGTTTGCAATATATAATGTGCCATGTTCTTTCACTAAAAAAGATTTTCTATAATGAAAAATACTAATTCTATTTCTATTGGTAAACTGGAATTGGAGGTTCCACCATGGATTACAGGTATCAGAGCACTATCAAGATCATTTAGATAATGCTGTGGCAGAAGCTGGCCTTCAGATCCTGCCTGAAATTCAACCTGGAAAAAAAAAAAGTCATGGTAAGACAACCAAGAAAAGGAGCCATTTTGTTTAGCTCAGAATATAAATATAAAATAATTTAAATTACTTAAAATATTGGTTTAAGCACGTTAATAAAATATTTGGTATATTTCTGTATTCTTCTATATTTCTTTTATCTGTTTACTACATAAATTATAATTGTCCTTTTCACAGATAAAATTGCCATGTCATACTTTAGGTTTTCTCTCAATGAACACATAAACTCAAGGAATAAGGCTTTGAATAATCGCCATTATTACTTAAATTTAAAACTTCATGGTATTAAATATATATACTTCAAAATATTTCAAATTTGTTATTGCAATGGTGTCTAATTTAGAATTTACTGTTAGTGTTTAAAATTACATGTTGGTACATTTGACTAAAAAAGAAAACATTAACAGTGCTTACTCAAATAATACTTGACGCTTCCTTGAAAATGTGGCTTTTAACAGTGAGATGAAAGCACAAATTACTCTATCCAGTAATAACTATGAATATAACATAGCCTGGCTGGAAGCCAACCTTCAACATATGAACTCATCCACGTTTAGATTAACCATCCTAATGAAGAATCTGCTTTGAAAATCTACTATATTGGATGTTGGAAACAGTTACAAAGCAAATGTTCTTAACAGATATGAACTGAAAGTTCAAAGAAAAGCAAATGGCTCTTGTGTGTAAGATGATCATTACTCCTTGTTAAGAGAAAGGAGCATTAAAATAATTTTGGACTATTATTTTTTTGCCAATCAAATCATCAGAGTCAAAAGTTTGATTACATAATTCTTTGGTAAGGATGTAGGGGGGGGGAAGAGCTCTCTACAAATTGCTGGAAGAAATATAAACTGGCCTAACCTCAGTCTGGGGTAATAATGGTAGTATCTATTGAGTACACACTCAGAACTGACAATTTTACTTCCAGGAATTTTTCTTATAGATATACTCACACTTATACAAAAGTAAAATATCACGGGCAATCTCAATGTCAATCAACATATACCAAATATGCATGAAGAACTAGTTAAATTATGGTACATTTTTATCAACTACCATGCAACTATAAAAAGAATATAAACTAATATATAACATCTCTAAGATATATTAAGTTAAAGAAGCATGGTAAGAAAATAAAGTGTAAAAGAAGACAAAAAGGACACATATACTTATTTGCTTGTACATGCATAAAATCACAAAGAATACATAAGAAATGAGTAACACTGATTGCTTGGCTAGGGAGGAAAAATGAGGAAAAATATGGAGGTGAACTGAAGGGTCAAGGGTAGGAAAGATATTTTCAGAGTTGTTGCCTTACACAACTCTACTGGGAACCATTTACATTGTAGTCAGGAGTTAGTATCTCCAGTGTCATCCAATTACACAAAATACAGTGTGAGTGCTGCTCTCCGGGGTTGTTCAGTGAGGTGGTACTGTTCTATATACACCAATTAAATCTTGAAAGTCTCACAGGAACATAGCCATACTCATTTGTTATCATACTGTCAATAGCTCTTTTCCCACTACAACTGCAGAGTCGCATAGTTGTAAAAGAAACCATACCACCTACAATATCTAAAGTACTTACTGTCTGTCCTTTAACAAAAAAGTTTGTTGACTGAGTCCTATTGTGGAGATTAACAGATAATATATGTGAAGTGTGTAGCACACATTTGATGCCCAACAGTTTTTAGATCCTTCTTTTATCCCAAAATAAAAAGTCAGAGGAAAAACTTATTTTAATATGTGATGCATTCGTTTCAAAAAAAATCACAAAAACATGCCTCACCATATCAGTGTCAATGGAAACTCTGAGTCCAATTTTATTCATCCCATTACTCTTTAGAGTTGTCAGATGAGGGCACAGTGCAGCACTACAAGCCATAGCTATTTCTTTTGCAAACTGATAACAAGTTGATAAAATAGATAAATCCTTGTCCTTTAGAAAGTAGAACACCTGAAATATATTTAATTAGGAAACAAGTCATGATTAAGATTGAAAAGTAACTTTAAAAATGCAACAGTTGCTGGTTTCAATTCAACTTTAATAAAATTTCAATGTAAGGTACCATGAAAATCACTGTGTAAGAGAATTATAGCTATAGTTTGATGTATACCATAAATAAAAACTTAAAACCAAAGATTATAGAATATGGGAATGACTCAGCTATTTTTGCCTAAAATTTATTTGTAGCAATGAAAGCCTTGTTAATTCAGTTTAGAGATGGGCACTAAATGAGTTCATTCTATAAGGACAGCTATATGAAATTAAGATAAAACTAATAAATGTTTATAGTTTCTATATTCCGTTTAGTTTCTATCTATCTTGTATCTGCATAAAATCACAAAGAATACTTAAGAAATGAATCTGAGGGGGAATAAGGAGGTAAACTAAGGGTATGGGAGCCTATAGTTTAATATCCTCTTATTTAAAAAAAATGAAAGTAAAAATAACTTTATAAGTGAATGCTGATTATAAATTAATGACAATAAAATATTTTATTTGGCTGGGCGTGGTGGCTCACACCTATAGTCGCAGCACTTTGAAAGGCCGAGATGAGAGGATTGCCCAATCCCTCGGGTTTGAGACCAGCCTGGGCAACTTGGTGAGACCTCATCTCTACAATAAATCAAGAAAAATTAGCTGGGCATGGTGGTACATGCCTGTAGTTCCAGCTACTTGGAAGGCTAAGGTAGAAGGATCGCCTGAGCCCAGCAGGTAGAGGCTGCAGTAGGCTATGAGTGTGTCACAGCCCTCAAGCCTGGGCGACAGAGTGAGACTCCGACTCAAAAAAAAATTATTTTTGTAAAATAAGAGGAACATGAAAATAATATCACCAAATAACATATTACAGCACAAATAAAGAGGGCAATGCTGCCAAAACTTAATTGTTAGCTGGCAGGAAGTACTACCATATGACCGCCTGAACTAACCTTACGGAAATCCAAATCTGGTGTATAATGTCTGGTGGAAACATGTGTCTGAGTTGTGATGTAAACAGTGTAATAAGGTATGCTTAAATACTCAGAGATTGAGCATGCATAATCTCTAAGTTAAAAAAGCAAACACCATATCCAAACACAGCAGGTAAAGGGAAGAGACCTTTCTCAGTTACCTCAGTACACTTTACAATCTTCTCATCAGTTTCAAAATCTGCTTCTAGTTTTATTTTTTCACTTGGATATCCTTGTAATGATATTCCATCTACTGAACTGGTAACACTACCAAAAAAATGGAGAGAAAAATTATGAAAGTTAGAGCTTTGAAGCAGCAACAAGGTATCTCAATTATAAACAAAATAACTCTCTAGTTCATTTGCCATGATTCTGTAGTAATCTTTTGTTGTTGTTTTTCATCAATAAATTATATCTTTTTCATATGCCCAATTGAGACCTGAGGTTTAAAATACCTTAGGTAGTCTCCTAACAGAAAAGCTGTCTCATGAATTCATAAATCCTATTTTTCAATCCTTCAGGGTTAACCCTCTTCTTCTTTGTTCCAGACCTCTTAGCCAATCTCCAAAAAAGAAAGAAAATGGGTAACTGAATAGAGGAAGAAGTGGTAGTAATGATCTGTAAGGCCTCAATGTGCATATTATTAAATGTTCATATTTATAGTGGATCAAAATAATAAAATATATCACCCAAGGGGAATCTTTTACTTACTTGACAAAAATAAGTACCACATAAAAGAAAAAGTGTCTTGCTTTTCTCAACCCTAGCATTGAGCCCACACTACTATACAATAGATATTTCATTATTGGCTCCCTCCTCAAATGTACCACCCTTTAATAATTTACAGTATTCACCCAGGCGTGGTGGCTCATACCTGAAATCCTAGCACTTTGGGAAGCTGAGGCAAGAGAATCACTTGAGCATAGGAGTTCAAGACCAGCCTAGGTAGCATAGTGAAACCTTGTCTCTACAAAAAGAAAAATTAGCCGCGTGTGGTGTGGTGGTGCATACGTGTAATAGTAAAAATTTTTATTTTTTTAGTAATAATAAATTCCTACCCTTTGTTTCCTTTTTCTTCAGTATCTACCCAGCAGATATCCACATATTCTCTCAGGTCTACTGCATCAACTTTCCCACATGTAATTTTAAAGTCTTTTTGCTCTCGAAGAGCTAGCCGTAAGCCATCCATGGTCTCTGGAGTTATTTGTACCATTAAGCCATCTAGAAATGAGAGTGTTTCACATTTATTTAGCCATATGTCAATTTGTATGTTTAAGTAATAGAATTTGTTATCAAAAAATGTTCTGAAAGTAGTTTTTCAGTAATTTGTTAATAATTTAATTGGTTGTTTTCCAGTAGAAAATAAGAAAAGTATTTCACAAAGGATTCTTTTTTTTTTTTTAAATAAAGATGATAATTCCGCTTCTGGTTATGATGAAATAACTAGTACCAAACTAATCCTTTTGTGACAACCAACCATAAGACTAGAAAAATATATGAAATGGCTGTTCTAGATACTGGACTATAGGTAGTCAATACTGAGATCCCTAGAGGGAATCTCAAGAAGTAAGCCCACAACTGTCCAGACTTTCTGCCTGGGGACAATTTCCTTATGTCTACTCACTAAACCAACAATGGCTCAATTTAGGTGAGAATAGTTTGGTGAAGTCTGGGATCAGGTCAAGATACTGAAGAAGGGGACCCCAGAAGACTATAAGACTTTGAGTCCTTGGACTAGAACTGGGTCACATTAACAGGGTGAAATTAGATAAAGCTTAACACAAAATAGCTGTTATAGCATTGAGAAGAGAACAGAGATAATAGAAGTCAAACTATGTTGGGGAATATTGGTGGTCTGGACCAACCAAAGTGGAAAGACATTATTCAAACCTCATTAACAAACTCTGTAGCAGAGTCAAAACAAAACCCTGACAAAGTCTGCAGGTAAAACAGAATTAGAATTGAGTACTGCCAAGTTACAGGGAACTGCTAATAAACACCTTAGGATTTCCACAGATCCATCCTGACATAGTGAAAAGCAAGTCTACACAAGCTCAAGATGGTCAGCCATGAAATTGCCTGCTAAAATATAAAGCATCAGCAATGGCTAACTGAATCATAAAGCTTCTAAAGCATATTAACTAATACACAAATCAAAAATTACTAAAAGAAACAAGAAGTAATCCCAGCACTGGGAGGGGGAGGTGAGAGGATTGCCTGAGACCAGGTTTTCGAGATCAGCCTGGGCAACTTGGTGAGACCTCATCTCTACAATCAATCAAAAAATTAGCCAGGCATGGTGGCTCGCACCTGTGGTTTCAACTTATTGGAAGGCTGAGGTAGAAGGATCACCTGAGCCCAGCGTGTTGCGGCTGCAGTGGCCTGAATGTGAGCGCTCCAGCCTGGGCGACAGAGTGAGACTCCAACTCAAAAAAAGAAACAAGAAAATGTGACCCTCTATGCAACTGAAATCAAGCTCAAGTTGGCCAATTAAGTACACAAACATTTTAAAATAGCTATTACAAATATATTAAAAGACCTAAAGGAAAGAGAGTCAAAGAATGAAAAGCAAATATGGGCTACATAAATCAACATAAAATAAATCTTAACAGGTAAACAGCAACACAGAAAAAGAAATTCTAAGAACTGAAAAGTACAATCTAATTGAAATTGAAACCTCAATAGAAAGGCTTAATAGTAGACAGAAGATGGCAAAAGAAAGAATCAGCGAACATAAAGAAAGATCAATAAAAAGTATCCAATCCAAAAAACACAAAAAAGATTAAAGAAAAAGTGAGCAGAGTGTCTAGGACCTGTGGGATGATATAAAACCATCTAACACACATACATATACAGAGCCCAGAAGGAGAAGAGATTGGTACCAAAAAAAAAAAAAAAAAGTATTGGTAAGAAATTCCCAAAATTTAATGAAAAGTATTGACACACATATCCAAGAAGCTCAACAAATGCCATGCAGGATAAATCAAAAGAAAACCACATCTACACGCATCACAGTTAAGTTGATAAAAACTGAAGATAAAGAGGATATCTCAAAAACACATAAGAAATGGTTACATTAAATGTAGGGAAACAAATATAAAATTATTACAGATTTTTCATTAGCTATAATTTAGAAGTTCCTCAAAAAACTAAAAATATAACTGTCATATGATCCAACAATCCTACTTCTGGGTATTTATCCAAACAATTGATATCAAGATCTCAGAGAGATATTGTCATTCCCATATTCACTACAGCACTGTTCACAATAGCCAAGACGTGAAAACAATGTAGATGTCCATCAGCAGAGGAACAGATGAAGAAAATGTGGTATATACAAATGGAATATTATTCAGCTTAAAAATAAAAAAAAAAGGACACTCTGCCATATATGAAAACATGGATGAACCTTGAGGACATTATGCTAAGTGAAATAAGCCTCACAAAAAGATAAATAATGCGTGATTCCACTTATGAACTATCTAAAATAGTCAAATTCATAAAATCAAAGAGCAAATGGGTAGTTATTATGGGTTGGAGTGAGACAAAAATGGATAGTTACTAATTTACAGATAAAATTTTAGTAAAGCAAGATGGACAAGCTCTAGAGATCCACTGTTCAACACTATACCCGTAGTCAACAATAATGTATTATACTCTTAAAAATTTGTTAACAGGTTATATTTCATGTTAAACAATGGATGCCAGAAGATAATAAAATGGCACCTTTAAATTACTAACAGGAAATAAAAACTTTCAAAGCAGAATTCCATAACAAGCAAAAATTCTTTAAAACTGAGAATTCTTTATTTTGCCATCTTCAGTCTACTATTAACTTTAATGAGTTTGGGACCAGCCTGGGCAACATAGCAAGATTCCATCTTGACTAAAAAAAAAAAACAACACAAAAAACCCCACCAAGCATGGTAGTATACGCCTGCAGTCCTAGCTACTTGAGAGGCTGAGGCAGCAGGAAAGCTTGAGCCCAGGTATTTGAGGTTAAGTGAGCAACGATCATACTGAGCCCAGGTATTTGAGGTTAAGTGAGCAACGATCATACTGTAATACAGCCTGGAATATAGAAGACCATGTGCAAATTGCAGGGCCCTGGGAAGGCCATCAGCTCTATCTCAGATTTGTCTTGAGTCTCTGCACAAGAAGTGAAGGCTAAGGTACAGTTCTCAAGTGCCTGACTTAGGTGTTGAAGGCATGCCCTAAAAGCATATACACATTCCAGCAAAGACTTATCGGTTCCAGGTATTTACGAAAATCTCAGTTCAAGCATTAGATTACCAATAAACTAAATGAGCAGAGAATATAGTGATTATGTCTGACACAGAATGCAGATTTTACAGAATTAGTTCAGAAAAGCCACTAATCAAACAATAAATAGCAACAGGTAACAGAAACTGTCCCTAAGAAAACCAAGATATTGTATTTGCTAGACAAAGAGTATAAAATGATTATTTATAATATGTTCAAAGAACTAAAGGGAACCATGTCTAAAGAATCAAAGAAAAATATAAGAATGATGTCTTAATCAAATACAGAATGTCAATGAAATTACAGAAATTATAAAATTATTTTTAAAAATCAAATATAAATTCTGGAGCTTAAAAGTACATCCACTAAAATGAAAAATTCAATTGTAAAGCTCAAACACAGATTTGAGTAAGTAGAAGAAAAAACAGTGAATTTGAAAACAGATCAACTAAGATTATCCAGTCTGATGAACAGAAAGAAAAATGAACAGACCCTCAGAGACCTGTGGAAATATCCTCAAGACCACTAACATATGCATAATAAAAAAACATTCACCTGCACATCTAAGAAACAAAATTCTAAGTATAGTGTAAACTGAAAGAGATCCAACTCTAGATACACAAACTGTGAAAGACAAAAAGAAAATCATGAAAGCAGTAACAAAGCAACTCATCACAAAGGATCTCAAACAAAATTAACAGCTGACAGTTTTCATATACTATGGAAATTAAGTTGGTATTCATCTATATTATATTGTTAAGTTTTAGATATTAATTGTAATGCCCATCTAACCACTAACTACTAAATAACTAAAAAAACCACGTCTCATCGTGATCACGGATGTGAATTTATGTCTTTGCAAACTGTTTCTGAATGATGAAATGCTGTCATATGTATGTGTTATTATATTTTGCTTGAAAATGAAAAGTAATGGGGTTGTTTGGTTTTTTTCTTTTCAGGACGTTTGAGTTCCTTGTAGATCCAAGATGTTAGGCCTTTGTCAGACATGGAGTTGGCAAATACTTTTTCTCAGTCTGTGGGCAAAAGATATGAACAGACACTTCTCAAAGGAAGACATCCAAGTGGCCAACAGACACATGAAGAAATGTTCAACCTCATTAATCATCAAGGAGATGCAAATTAAAACTACACTGAGATACCACCTAACTCCAGTCAGAATGGCAATTATCAACTCAAAAAATAACAGATGCGGGAGAGGATGTGGTGAAAAAGGAACACTGCTACACTGTTGGGGGGAGTGTAAACTAGTGCAACCTCTGTGGAAAGCAGTGTGGCGATTCCTAAAAGCTCTAAGTATCGACCTCCCATATGACCCCGCAATCCCCCTACTGGGAATATACCCTGAAGAACTCAAATCACTCTATAAAAAAGATACCTGCACACGTATGTTTATCGCAGCATTGTTCACAATAGCAAGAACCTGGAAGCAACCATGCTGTCCATCAAAAAAGGACTGGATTAAAAAAATGTGATACATATACATGATGGAATACTACGCAGCCATAAAAAAGAACAAAATCATGAATTTCACAGGATCCTGGATAGAACTAGAGTCTATAATACTGAGTGATCTCTCACAGAAACAAAGATCTGAGTATCACATGTTCTCACTCATATAGTGGACCTTGAACATCTATTATAATACTATAAGAAAAGGATTGACAGTGGCAGGAAACTATGGGGAGGGTAGGGAGGGGAAAGGAGGTGGGATTAACGGTAGTCAATATCTGTCTGGGGACGGGGAGACACCCCTTATCAACAAGGGTGCCTGAACGATGCATATTCGCATACTAACCCTTAACTGTACTCCACAATTTTAAAATAAAAAATGTTTTTCTAAAAAAAGAAAATGAATAGTAAGGCAAGGAGAGGGAAAGTTAATTGAGATAATTATCTGATACCGACTGCAGTTATTGATTCATGTGCAAATTTTTAAAAATAAAAATTGCAAGTTGGTCATTCATTTGCTATAATTAGTGTTGTATACTTGTATTTTGATATTTTAGGACTTTTATACTTTCATACAACTCAGAAGTTCATGATCAGGAAGTGAATATATTGTCAAACATTCACAAAATATTTAAAAGCACTGAAAATGAATAAGCTATAGTTGTAGGCAATAACATGCATACATTTTATAATGTTGTTTGAAAATAGAAAGTTCCATATGGCTATATAAAGAAGGTCCCTCTTATATATCTCCTCAATAAGCATAAACAATGTTATTTGGGCATATGTCTATTTCAGGTAAAAAAATAATTAAGCAAGAATGTGATAAGCACAGTACTAAGTCTTATAGCTAATTCTTGGAGAGAGGAGGAAGAAGGGGTAAGTAGACTGAAATACTGGTCATGTTTTAGTTCTTGAGCTGGGTGACGATTTCGCATAAGTTTGTAGTACTGTGCTTTATAACATATATATATGTTATATATAAGTTTGTAGTACTGTGCTTTATAACGTGTGTGTGTGTGTGTGTGTGTGTGTGTATACATATATATATTTGTAAGTACATTTTTAAAAGGTAATGGAAAAAACTACATTAAAACAGCCGGGCTCAGTGGCTCAGCCTGTAATCCTGCGCTTTGGGAGGTTGAGGTGAGTGGACTGGCTGAGCTCGCGGGTTCGGGACCCGTCTGGGCAACTTGGTAAGATCTCATCTCTACAATAAATCAAAAAAATTAGCTGGGCATGGTAGCATACACCTGTAGTTCCAGCTACTTGGAAGGCTGAGGCAGAAGGATCGCCGGAGCCCAGCAGGTCGAGGCTGCGGTGGCCGGGAGCAGCCACTGCACTCCAGCCTGGGCGCCAGAGTGAGACTCCAACTCAAAAACAAAAACAAAAACAAAAACAAAACAGTCTTATAAATGAAACTCACCTTCAACTATGCTGGACTTAGCAAGAAATCCTGAAGATGTTTTTAGAGCGCCATTGAACACCACAAAACTTGCACCTGTCACTGATTAAGATATACAACAATTATTTGTTTTAACCTGCTCATTTTTATATTATATGATATTTTTAAATGCTACTGTGGAAAATGCACATACTAAGTACTCAATAAATTTTATTCTCACACAACTTATATTAGAAAGGTAATAAAAAACAAAAGAAAGACGGAATATTACATAAAAATGTTTCTAATAATTGATGGACTATTGCACTATTTAAAATGTCCCTATGTTAGTGAGAAAATCAAACATTCACTACTTTGAAGTCATAAAAAGTCTCTGGAGCCCTAATTTGACAATTATTTACTAAAATTATAAATAAATGCATCCATTGACATACCAACTCCATTTCCAGGAATTTATCCTATAGATAGGTTCAAATGTATACAAAATGGCATGCATACAAAGTTATTCACAACAGCATTTTTATAAATAGCCAAGGATTGGTAACAACTTATGTCCATCAATAAAAGACAATTAAACGATGTAAAATGAAAAGTTACATGGAATGAAAAAGCTCTTTATATACTAACATAGACTAATCTCCAAGGTGTGTTAATAACAACAACAAAGCAAGGTATGGAATGGAACAAATGCTATAACTAATCCAAAAAAAAGAAAAGGAAGAAAGAGATGATATGAGTGTGTATGTGTGAGTATTTGCTTGAATAATATATTAAAGCAGAAATGACTCCAAAATAATATAAGAGACCTGATTACACTGGTTTAGTTGCCTGTGGGGAGAGTAAGAGGATGGCTGGGTGGTTAAGGGAAGACAGGAGGTTTTTCACTATAAATATTTGTACCTTTTGAATTTTACCACATAAATACATGAGGGGGACCCCAAAACTCCAGAATTTATTATAAAAATTGTGTATTTCTTATATGTTTAAACTTCAGTCACCTGTAAAGTACCCTTCATTTGATGCAATACACCTATCAAGATGCTTTTTCCACTGCTCAAAAAAGTTTTTGAACTCGTCAATTTTGATGCCTTTTAATGCTTTGGCCATTTTTTGTTTCACCTCTTCCACATCAGCAAAACGTTTCCCTTTCAGGACTTTTTCATCCGGGGAAACAAAAGAGAATCACTCGGGGCAAGATAGGTTGAACAGGGAGGGTGGGGGACAGGGGTCATGCCCTTCTTGGTCAAAAATTGCTGAACACTCAGTGTGGTGTGAGCAGGTACACTCGTAAATAACCCCTCATGAAATGGGCAAGTATGTTAAAAGAATCTCCAAAAAAAATTCACTGAAGCTGAATGCAGCCTCTCACAAGCTAGCTTGTACAATGATGCCGATAGGTTCCTAGAATACTTACCTAGTGAAGGAAGCCTGTACTACAAGGGGCCCACCCTCCAAAAACTAATTCCAGGCTTTTTTGTGTACCCCACCTTGTATACCTATTCAACAAATACTAAAAAACTGTTAAATTTTAATGACAAAAAAGCTAGTAACATGGCAAGTAAAAAAGCACAATAAATAGTGCAAATATTCAGTATAAAATCATTTGACAAATATATAAATATAAGAAGAAAATACAGTAAAATGTCAATAGAGGTCATATCATGGCTCTTTTTTACTTTCACTACTTTTTAACATATATTTTCCAAGTTTACTACAAATGAGTATATATTACTTACATAGTAAAAAAAAAATTGTATTAGTAGCCAGGATATCAGACTATATTAAATATATTATTCTACAATGATGTAGTAATTAAATGGAATACATACTTCCATTTGACTTTCAATTTGTTAGGCCCTCTAACTGCAGAGGTTTGATAATCACAGCAGTTATTGAGGCCCTTCAGCCAGAGCTGAGAGCAATGTTGCTCATAGATGCTGCTCACGCCACCATCTTTATCATTTCTATATCCCCAGTCACTTACGGTTTATAAATCTTTCTTCATCCTTACCCGCCCTGTGCTCCCTCAACTAAGAGAAGTGGGAGCACAGTGAACAAATGTGAAAAAAAACCTCATTGCAAAGAAGTTATACAAAGAAAGACTACCCCCCCAACCATGGAATACACTAAACCTGAAGATACCAAAAGGAATACAGTCTTCTAAATCTTAAAGCCTAATGTAGCCAGAGGAAAAAACACAAATTAGAAGCAAATTTTTAATCTGTCGATTGTGCAACTGAAATTTTAAAGCATACTATTTTATCATTTATGTTTTTTCTCTTTGAAAGGAATTGTGTTAATGGAGGTTGTTGTATAAATCAGCACTAGTAACCACGGTGATCACCTTTTCTTGGTTGGCCAGTGACACTGTTGGCCTGGGTTTGATAAACTCCATCATTCTGTACACAGACGAGATGAGAATCTGCTTCTGTACTAAAACTAGCTCCAATGCTGATAACATGCTCATTAGAAGAATTTATTACTTTCATTACCTGGAAAACAACAATACTTGTTTAGAAACACTTTTAACATTTAATGCCTATTCTGAGCCACATTCCTAGCCAGCTCATAATTATAAGATCATAAGGTTTGATCTGGACAACGCCTTAGGAATGTGATAGAAGCAAATGTCTCAAAATAAAATTACCTCAATTAATAGATAGTTAAACCAGTAAAGAAAAACGATGAAAAAATGAGATGAAATAAACTACTTATAAGTTTACTTATAAGTAAATTTGTTTACTTATAAGTAAATAAATTCTGCAATTTCAAAAACAATATTTGTTGTCATAATACATTAGACAGTCTAATTCAAAACAAAAATTAATTAATTATTTTATTTTGAATTGGAGTCTCACTCTGTCACCCAGGTTGGAGTGCAGTGGCATGCTCACAGCCACCACAGCCTTGACCTGCTGAGCTCAGGCAATCCTTCCGCCTCAGTCTTCCAAGTAGCTGGAACTACAGGCATGCACTACCATGCCCAGCTAATTTTTTTTGTATTTATTGTAGAGATGAGGTTTCATGAAGTTGCCCAGGCTGGTGTCGAACCTATGGGCTCAGGCAATCCTCTCACCTTGACCTCCCAAAGTGCTGGGATTACAGGCTTGAGCCACCATGCCCAGCCAAAACAAAAATTTAATTTGATATGACTCTAAGGAATTCTAATGTTCAACAACTGTCACTAAAATTTGAATAAAACAATTATACTTACATCACTGTATTTTTTCCGTGGTATTTTTATGCAGCTTTTTCCCATTTCCATATGGATCAATAGCTGATCTATATTATGCAAGGTATACTGGTAATTTCGAAGGTCCTACATAAAATAATCATATTTTCATAAACCTTAAACTACTATTTAAGAGCATTTATCCATCTATTATATCTTTGTATAAGAGTATTTGTCACTTTAAGGTTTCTGATACATAACTATAAAATGCCACCAAGAAAGCTAGTATCAACTTAAAAAAAAAGAATCATTCCAGCTACTCCACAACAGTAATAAAGAATATCATTCTCAGAAAGAATTTTGTAGTATTTAGGGGTAGCTCCTTTTCCTAGTTACAGATCTTCCAAATTAGAAAAGGTCTTCAAACCAGACACAGAAAAATAAAAGTAAGTTCACTGAAATATCTTTCTGTGGGAACTGATAAACACAAAACTAAAAAAATTAGAGGTGGAAAGGAACCTCAGATATCATCTAATCCAGTCCTTCCTATCATAGATGAGGAAACTAAGGCCATTATTTGCTCAAAAATCACAACATTGACTGACTTTACTAACACTTCTACTAACGCTTCAACAATCTTAGAAGTTTGTGTAGAGATCTCACATTACCTAAATATGTAAGAACCGCAGCAGAATGAATCAAAAGGCAATTAAAATCAGATACACAAATATAAGAATGTCCTAAAAAATCTGTTCTTCAAAAACAGAGCCCACGTATGTTAAATGAATTAAGATTTATTGTAATGAACTTTCTTTATAGCAAACATCCCAAAATAAAACAGGAAAATATAAATGTATAAAATTTGCTAAGTACAATTTTAAAGTAACAGTATAAATAAAATAGTTCAATTACTTACAACAAGTAAGTTCATAATAGTGTGTCCTATTTCTCCAAAAAGAGGTTTCCGGTATCTGATACTTGTTAGAGGAGCAGGATATGCTATACATAAGAAAGGAAAACTGGTTACCATAAAAAAAAAAAAATCTTAAATTCATTACCATTAATTCTCATTTTTTAAACAAACATTATGTACAAATATCACTCAATTAATTGTTAGTTAAAAGTGAGAAATGAGGTCGGGCGTGGTGGCTCAAGCCTGTAATCCCAGCACTTTGGGAGGCCAAGGTGAGAGGATTGCCTGAGCCCACGGGTTCGAGAACAGCCTGGGCAACTTGGTGAGTCCTCATCTCTACAATAAATCAAAAAATTAGCCGGGCATGGTAGTGCCTGTAGTTCCAACTACTTGGAAGGTTGAGGCGGAAGGATCACCTGAGCCCAGTGGGTTGATGCTGGGGTAGCTGTGAGCGTGCCCCTGCACTCCAGCCTGGGTGATGGAGTGAGACTCTGACTCAAAAAAAAAAAAGTGAGAAATGCCATTAATTCTTACTGTTATCTACTAGATGATACATTGAACTAGGAACTTTACGTATCTTATTTAAATCCAAAACAATGTAATGAGAAAATGTGTCTATACCTATTTCATAAATGAGTAAGCTGAGACACAGAAATTAATAAACTTACTCATAGTGACTAAGTTAATAACCGGTGAAACATATTTGAAACTAGGTTTGCCTGATTCCAAAGCATTTAATCTTTTCATTATACATGCTGTTTCTACAAAATTATGGGGGGTGAAAAATTACAATTAGTTAGGCCCCCATAACTTTCTGAAAATTGAAGGAGAAATACAAAGAAAGACTTTTAAGGCATTTGTAATTAATATTCGACTGTGTTAATTTATGAGTGGTAGTAAACTTTTATACTTCTTGGTTCAGCATGATAAAAGAAGCATATATAGTCAGAGAAACAATGCAAAAAAAAAAAAGGAAAGGACATGGGGTCTGTCACCTAACTACTTTTCTTTCTTTAGAGCACTATAAATACTGGATGCCAAAAAGGAAAAGATATCTTGCTGGCAATACAGCAGGAACTCTGAAAGAAAAGGAAGATTAAAAAAAAGAAAGGCAAGACTATTTCTACACTGATACAAAGCAGACACATTTTTAACCTTCAGTTCTCAGCTTAGGTCATAAGCAAACTAATTTCTCTAATATCTATTACACAAATATATTTCCTTAAAATTCTAAGAAAATACCACACACTCAAAATTATCTATTTTAAAGACTTAAGTCAAAGTAATCACATTCTTGCTAGTACAAACATATTTTTTAATTCTCTAAAAAGGGAAACTACGTTATTTGGGAGACAGAGGGTCTAGACTGTAAAAAGCACACACAAAAAAACTGATTTTAAGTTTCCGCAAAATTCTTATTTTACATTCAATATACTGAAAAATATGTAATTTAATTTATTATTCTAAAACTTACCTTTATATTCTGCACCCAATCTCAACATTAAACGCATAGGAAAAACCTTTACCCAGGGAATCTCCAGCTTCTGGATAAGAACGCCACAAAGAAAAGGATTACTTGGTAATGGGAGATCATCAAGTTTCTGAAAAGTAGGTGTAATAAACAGGAATCCTCCATGATCCTTGCTATTGAGAAAGCTCTCAGTAAAGGTAATATTGTCCAAGTTTTCTAAATATTTTCCTAAAAATATAATCATTAAGAGAAATATTTTAAGTTGTTATTTTTTGTAAAGAAATGTTTTGCATTTGAATACAATATAAACTTTCTTAAGTAAAAACAATGTCGAATTTTTTTTTCTGATTTCTACTCTTTAATAAGCCCTCTATGCACAAAGCTCAGTTACTCCTGGAGTCTAGGGAATATGAACAAAAATTTGAAAATGTTTCCAATCATAAACGCCTTTAACGTTTTCTCCATACTGCATGGTCAAGTAAAAAATTATCACGTCCCTAGTCTTGTACAGACAGTAAGAAAATTATATAGACATATTAAAAAACAAATAAGGCAAACATATTTCCATTTTTATAATTTAAAAAAATCTGTGTATAGGCACTAATCACATAAAATGTTAGATTTAAGGAGTGAAAATTATAATTAAGATATTTTAGGAAATAATCTCTTCACAAAATAAATCTTTAATACAGTTCACATAACCAAAAGCATAAGCACTTTAAACTAATTTATCCATCTCTCAGTTTCAACAGTTCAAAATAAAATACTACACCTTTTATAGCATCCTTATATATGGTGATAAATAGTCTGAAGATGTCCTTAGGAATATTATCTTCATTTGGCAAACACAACAACAAAATAATAATTTCTGCCTGTCCCAAGCCATGCAATCCATTGGTTGAGAAGTACCAATATTTGTCCGAGGAATCTTAAATGATAAAAGCATACAGCTTCAAATGTCAACTTCTGTTAACCAAAATCTAAAAATAATTGTTTTTGCATGAAGCACAACTCTTCAAATTCCATATTTTCCCACAGCTCTCGTCATAAAAACTTTAAGTTAGATTGTATAAGATTCATATAAAACAATACAGAAAGATTATCTTATGAAATTAATTAACAAATAACACTAAAATAAAAGATCTACTAAATGCTGAAATGTAGTGGGTAAGAATTAGGTTAGTTTCAAAAAGAATGAAAAGCTGATAGATGCATTACTGAGTTAATTAGGATTATTAATTATTAAGGATTATTTACTTCCTTAATCTTAACTAGGCCACATATCACTTATCTTAAAACTGCCTTTATTGCTACTAAATGAGGATTCCTGCTTACCTTAATTACCAAATTTCAATTTATCTGAAAGTTATAGAAGATATATTTAACTGTATCATGAGCATCAAAATACAGCTCAGCTACGACCTTAAACAAAGATTGACTGAAGGATATTAGTAAAAATCAGTAAACTTGTATCAAGTCACTGAATCTAAGTTTACAGTTTATTTATAGTCATATCTGACTGAAAAAAATCAATATCCAATGCCGTTTATTTTTCACCACTGCCAGTCAAAATCTAACCTGAAGATGTAATTATTCCAGAAATCCTGTTTACCAATTAAACAAAAAAAGATGAATCAATACTTACAATGTACTAATTTGACATTCACGAGAAGATTAGCATTTAGGACAAAGGTAACAGTATGTAATCCTTCACCTTCAAGAAGCAAAGTGATCTGCTCATGAGACGGGTGTTCTTCTACTATAGGAACTAAATGATGTAAGTAAAATAATATATTAATCAGGATATTTAGCCCATTAAATATACTTACAGTGAAAAAAAATACATAAATCTACCAATGGCCTGATCAAATTTAAGAGCAAATATATTTCATAAAATCAATCAATACCCTGAACAACTGTTATATGCTCATTTTTACTTTACTATCCAGGCAAGTATATTAATACTGTAATGTGTATAAATTCCAGCACATAACATTATATATAGTACATATACAATATGTTGATTAAACAGCATATTTACACACTTTTAGCACTTTTAAAGTTTTAAGACAAATGGTTTTATAAAGTAGATTACAGTTTTCCAGGCACTCCAATTATAATTTCTGAAATTTACAAGACTGTGAAAGTAGTTTAGACCCATTAAACATGTTTTTACCATATGCTTAGATCAGTGACAGGCAGCCCAGAAAAAAAGATATTGACAATAGAAAAATATGCATGTATGCAAAGAATAGAACTTAATATATTTTTGCCACTACAGCTAGATTCATGAAATAGCTTCTACTGACAAAACAGAGATCCTAAGCTTCATTCACTTACATTATCAAGCAGAGAACCACCATATCACGTTGCAGGATGCAACATCATGCCTGGGTGAAAAGTATTCATCCTAGGGAACTACTAGGATAGGTGGGAGCTAGTCATAGACTCTCCAGCTTAAAAAGGACCTCAGAGATCATTTAGGTTCTGTTCTTTTACAAAGGAAACTGAGGTCCAAGGAGATTAAATAACATATACTGCAAGTCATATATGTAATATGTAGTAGATAAAGAGAACTAAAATTTCTAGCTTTGCCATTAATCTAATTCTCTTTTCTTTAGGTATCATGTTCCTTGAAGAAGGAAAAAAAAAAAGACATCGTGTCAAAACTCTAATACAATGAAAACTTTTCTCAGGATTTCCCTATTGTACTGAACTTTGCCTCACTATAAATAGAAACCCAGATGTGATAAAGGGATTATAAAAGTTCAGATCTTGGGCAACCTGCTGGGATCCCCTCCCACTGTGGGAGCTTTTCTGTCCTCTCAATAAATCCTGCTTTCTCACTTAAAAAAAAAAGTTCAGATCTTTTTAGAATTTGTTTTTATGTAAGACTTTTTGTAAACTAAAGTTATCAGCCCTGGTACATATTACAACCAATTTGTCTAAGTTAAGAAAATGCATTTCATACATATCACAGACAAAATTCATCAGTACATTCTTTTAAAAAATCCTCTTTAAATTTAAATAACTGCTATCCTACCTGATGCCTTTTCTCCAGGTGCAATCAGAAGTGGGGGCAAACTGTCTTCGTCATTAGGTAGAAGACTAATTTTACTGCAAACATATTTGTCAATACCACACAATAACCTATAATCTGAAATACTAACAATAGATAAATGGTTGTTAACCAAGACATTAGTAGAACTAGATGATTCTCCAATTTCTGCAAAAACATCATCATCTAGTGTAAGAGAACCAGAAGTAGGTAATCCCTCATTTTCTGTGTTTACAGGCAGTTTTTCCACTGATGGAACCTGAGAAATAGGACTCCAAATTATCTCACTTCTTGTAATATCTCCTATCTCATTGTTTGGTTTTTCCACTGTAGTAGAATGGGAATGATCCACTGTGTTTACTGCCTGTAAAATACAGAATAAAAAATATATATACATCAGTTCATATTCTCTGTTCAACTGTGAAATGCTAATCATTATAGCCAAACATATTTTTTAATAAGAATAAATAAAAACGAAAGTGGATTCAGAAATTCTTCTTAAATTAAATTTCCCAAAGCTATAATCCCAGCACTTTGGGAGGCAGAGGCGAGAGGATTGTTTTAGCCCGTGGGTTTGAGACCAGTCTGGGCAACATGGTGAGACCACGTCTCTACAATAAATCAAAAAATTAGCTGGGCATGGTATCATGCACCCATAGTTCTGGCTACTTGGAAGGCTGAGGCAGAAGGACCCCCTGAGCCCAGCAGGTCGAAGCTACGGTGGCCAGGAGCATGCCACTGCACTCCAGACTGGGCGACAGAGTGAGACCACAATTTAAAAAAAAAAAAAAAATTCCCAAGAAACAGTACCATTTTGTTTCTTTAAATTCAGGAGCATAAGGTAGTAAGGAACATAAGATTTTAGCTTTACTGTATGCTCAGGTATGTATTCATGACTTTAATAATACAAACTAGCTGGGCTCAGTGGCTCAGCCTGTAATCCTGCGCCTTTGGGATGCTGAGGTGAGTGGATTGCCTGAACCCATGGGTTCGAGACCCACCTGGGCAGCGAGACCTCATCTCTACAAAAAAATCAAAAAATCAGCCGGGCATGGTAGCGCATGCCTGTAATTCCGGCTACTCGGAAGGCTGAGGCGGAAGGATCGCCGAAGCCCAGCAGGTGAGGCTGCGGTGGCTGGGAGCAGCCACTGCACTCCAGTCTGGGCGACCGAGTGAGACTCCAACTCAAAAAAATAAAAATAAAAAATAATAATACAAACTGGAAAAACGAGGTAAGAATTTAGGATCCTGTGCTAAACTACATAGTGAGAAAGCATGGTTCAATCCACAGCTCTCCCCTTGTGATAGCCAAAAATGCCTTACATAGAGAGAGAGGAGGGAAAAGGGGGAAAGAAAAGAGGAGTGGTTAGGAAGCAGTGTTAGATATATTCCATAATAGTAACTACCTGGAATAAACTACTCATCAATAAATCCCCTTTCTTTTTATACTGACCAAAATCAATGTTAAATGAGAACTATTATGAACTCAAGTAATACTTACTAACCTGTTTAGAACTTACATTTCGTTAAAATATTGATTGACGGTAGGTGCTAAGAAACATAACTTTGGTAATTAAGTCTATTTGTGAAATCTAGCTCAAACACTCTTACTGACATATGGCATACGTTTATACAGTATGTGAACTCCAACAGAACAGGTAGATATCTACCATGTCTAAAGTATGTACTCAGAGTCAACCAGGTGAATGGTATAGACTAGATGCTCAATAATTATTTGTTTAATGACTAAAACGTTCCTAATTCATACATTAATACTTGCTTCTATGAGTATTTTGATACTTTACAATGACAGTTTATAGTGATCTGGGATTCTATATTATGTATCTTCTATTTAACACCTAGCACATTTGTATAAATACAAACATAAATATCACCATCAGATACTTCCCTGAATATCTGAAAATCAACTAAATATCAGTATAAATTGGACTACTAAATCTCAGTTACATTTCCCTGTTATCAGTGGTTCTCAAAATGTGATCCAGAGATACCTGGAGTTCCCAAGATTCTTTCAGGGTGTCAGTGAATTCCTAGGATCTTTTTTATATTATTTAGCAAAAATAACATCTCACAACACACTGAATGTAGAAGCAGATGTCTGTCTTCTATTAAGTCAGACATTAAAGAAATTTGCAAAATGTAAAACAATGCCACTATTCTCTCTAAACTCCTTTTGTTTTGGTAAAAAATATTATTTTATAATAGTAAGGGATTTATTATTTTGTATTTAATCATTAAATATTTTTAAGTTTATTCCATTTTAATTTTAATACAGCCTAGACTGGTCTCAAACTCGTGAGTTCAAGCGATCCTCCTGCCTCGGCCTCCCAAAGTGCTGGGATTACATGTATGAGCTACTGTGCCTAGCCTAAAAATAGATTTTTTAAGGAAAAGGTCAGTGTTTTACCTATCATCACTCAAACCCAAGCCCACCCTCTACATTGTGCTCTTTGATGTCAGGCTGGAAGTCTGGAAAGTGCAATTCCTAGACTTCCTAGCTAGCTGACTTTGGTCAGTTTCTTCCAATGGTAGACAATGATGGGAGACCCGAAAATAGGAAGAGAGAAGGAATTCTTCTTCATTAGGTATAACCCACATAAGCCATAATTCTTCAGGGTTCTAAATAACTTAAGAGTTTTGTTTTGCTTTTTTTTTAATTGGAGTCTCACTCTGTTGCCCAGGTTGGAGTGCAGTGGCACGCTCACAGCCACTGCAGCCTCGAACTACTGGGCTCAGGTGATCCTACCACCTTGGCCTTCCAAGGAGCTGGAACCAACAGGCATGTGCCACTACGCCTGACTAATTTTTTTATTTATTGTAGAGACGAGGTCTTGCCAAGTTGCCCAGGCTGGTCTCAAACCCCTGGACTCAGGCAATCCTTTCGCCTCAGCCTCCCAAAGTGCTGGGATTATAGGCATGAGCCACAGACTGTAAGAGGTCTGCCTTTAAGAGTTTAAAGGGGTCCTGAAACCAAAAGTGTGAGAGCCATTCCCTTACACTGACATTCGAAAGGGTAAAATCTGCAGGTACAGTGGCTCCAGCTGAAATCCTAGTACTTTGGGAGGCCAAGCTGAGGGGATCGCTTGAGCCCAGAAGTTTGAGACCAGACTGGGCAACAGAGAGACCTCATCTCTACAAAAAATAAAAAATAAATTAGCCAGGTGTGGTGGCACACACCTGTCGTCCCAGCACCTTGGGTGGAAGGATCACTGAGTCCAGAAGGTCAAAGCTGCAGGGAATGTTTGTGCTACTGCACTCCAGCCTGGGCAACAGAGTAAGACTCTGGTTCTAAACAAATAAAGGGCAAAATCTAAAATATATTCATTATATCAATATATTTCTTATTTTAGGAAGCTCAAAGCATTAAAAAAGGTAAATATTCTAATAAGCAAATTATCTACAATATATAATTTTATTTAATTAGTAAATTATTCTTTAGATTCCTTACCATAGGTGTATCAGGTGAGAGAGGACTAAAATCTTCAGAACATCTTTTACTTCCAGATGAAAATTTTGTTGTATCTGCAACTTCACCATTGGGCAATATACCATCTGCAAACCATACTCTCTTCTGTTCTTTAGAGCATAGTCCTAGAATCAGGTGAAACAGTATAGATTTTAATTTGGCAATACTGTCAAGATTTAGTATCAAATAGGTCAGAAAATGTTTTCAAAAGCTTTTTGCTACCAATTGGCAAGCTCTGGATGCAAAGCCTAAAGAAATGGCTTCTTATGATTCATCTACTCTAAGTGGAGTCTGTTTCAATATAGTTCATACAAAGGAAGTATAATAGACAAGGGGTGGAAATCACATAGTCTGAAAAGGAGTGGACAGGAGAGATTATACCTTAAAGACACTGGAAGAAGAGTCAATGCCTATATTATTGAGGCTGTGAGTGTGGAGTGGAGACTGAATAAAATTTAGGGACTACTTTAGATCTATAATATACAACCATATATGCTGAATTTCCTTATTTTCATCATAATAAATAGAAAATAGCTACTGAGTGATAATCTGAAGTCCAAAATAATTGTCAGAAGAATGCCTTTAACTGACATTTACAGTTATTTTCTAGCACATTACAGACTAATTGTATATGATTTTAAATGTACATGGGCTTTACTCAAGATCCTAAATGATGACAGGTTATAAAAAAGAACAAATAACACAAAAATTTAAAAAATATTTTATCTTTCTGGTAAAATATGCAATTAAAAACAGATTTTTTTTGAGTCAGGGTCTTACTCTGTCATCCAGGCTGGAGTGCAGTGGCACGATGTAGTGGCATGATAATGGCTCACTGCAGTCTCAACCTCCTGGGCTCAGGCGATCCTTCTGCCTTAGCCTCCAAGTAGTTGGGACTATAGATGCACACTACCACAGCTGGTTAACTCTTTGATTTTTTGTGGAGACGAGGTCTTGCTATATTGCCTAGACTGGTCTCAAACTCGTGAGTTCAAATGATCCTCTAGCCTCGACCTCCCAAAGTGCTGGGATTATAAGCATGAGCTACGGTGCCTGGCCTAAAAATGGATTTTTAAGGTAAAGAAAACAGGTCAGTGTTTTACTTATCATCTCTCAAACCCAAGCCCACTCTTTACATTGTGCTTTTTAATGTCAGGCTGGAAGTCTGGAAAGTGCAATTCCCAGACTCCCTAGCTAGCTGACTTTGGTCAATTTCTTTCAATGGTAGACAATGATGAGAGACCAGAAAGTGGGGAGAGAAGGAATTCTGCCAGGATTCTTGCAGCAGCATCACCATCATGCTGTTTGTTGCATGATTTTCAGTAATTCTAACATCAAACCTGGAGCTCTCCTTCAGTCACCTGAGCACCAGCCCTTTGAGGCCCCTTGATAGTTCCAGAATTTACCACTTTGTGTTTCCCCAGCACAGCACCAGCCATGTGGTGCTCCAACCTCTGACTCCCAAGTGTGAGAACTAAGCACCTCCTGGTGCCCCTGCGCTGAACTCTTCCCTTTCATTCCCCCAAATCCAGCTGTGGTGGTTGCTTTCTACAGTTGCTAATCTATGAGGCGCTTGAGCGTGCCATTTTTACTCTTCCAGTCTTCCAACATACATATGTGACCAAGTCCCTGTATTACATCCCTCCTGATATCAGTCTGGTTTGTCTTCCCTGACTAGATGCTGACAATGCTAACCAATTTCCATTTCAATAATTTACCTTTAGTCCAAGACACAGCATTTTCTTCTACTTACCTTCAGCACTTGGTTGTTTAAGTGCTGAAATTGGCAAAGTTGTTGGTGAAGATATATTGGGTGTTTGAGCATCCTGAGGAGGCTGGACAGTGGCACATTCATCAGAATGATTAGATCTAAGGTTAGAACCAGTTGGACTCATCATCCTTTCAAATGCCTGAGCTACAAAGGGGAAAATAATAGTATTAAAATCTCAGATGTTTCTGAACTTCAAAGTAAATGACAACAGTCTATTTTTCAAGTGTAAGGAGAAAGAAAGCAATGGCTAATCAAGAAAAAAGGTGGTCACTTGGCAAAGATACTAAGTAGCTAGCACAGGTTCCTTACTTCAGTTGGTATTCTCCATTTCAATAAGCAACAAATGAGTTACTCAGTGCTATATTTGGTCTATGTTTGATATCTACTACAGAAAATAATCCTTATTTGACTATCTGTCCTTCCCCTTGTGCCCCTACAGACTGTTTTCAGCATAGTTCAGAGAGATTCTTTTAGACTTAAATTGTATCTCATCATTCCTGTTTAAAATCTTTTAAAGGTTTTGTAACTAAAGTGAAAATTTAAGCTGTTACAACGGCTCACAAGACCCTACATAATCTGCATCACTATCTCTCCAATTTCCCAGTTACCTGTTTGACCTCATCTCTCACTACAATCCCACTTGCTCACTATGAAACAGCCACCCAGGCATACTTCAACAAATTAAGTAAATGCTCTGCTAGCTTAGGGTCTTGGCCTACAATGGTCTCCTCATAGGTACTCACACAGCTTTCTCATTTCCTTCAAGTCTCTGCTCATATGTCATATTATCATAAAGTCTTACTCTGACCCCCTTACAAAAAAAATACTACCTCTTGGCAGGTAGCAGTGGCTCACACTTAATCCCAGCACTTTGCGAGAAGGGAGGAATGCTTAAGCCCAGGAGTTCAACCCTGCCCGGGCAACATAGTGAGATCTCGTCTCTACAAAAAATAAAAAAAAAATTAAAAATTAGCTGGATGTGGTGGTACACGCCTGTAGCAGGAAGATCACATGAGACCCGGAAGTTGAGGCTGTGGGGAGCTATGATGGTACCACTGCACTCCAGACTAAAAAAGAAAAAAGAAAAAAAGAAAATACTATTTCTTGCTGCTAATCTGTTACTATCTATCTATCCTATATTTTTTAATTTTTATTTAGACTATTATCACCATCTGATATTCTCCTTGCTCATTATCCATCTCTAGCTATATTCATAAACTCCACAAAAATAGGGCATCTATTTTGTTCTCAGCTTTAGCTTCAGAACGAAGAATAGTGCCTGAGTATTGCTGAGTGATTTTTCATCCAAAAACAAGGAAAAATACTGGTAGCTGTCCCTTTAGCATTTCTCCAAATTGATTTGCTATAAATATTGCCACTCCTAAAATAATCTTCCTTAAGTGCCACTGAATGATGGCAATCTTATAAAATGGCTTCCACAAACCAAGTGAAACCCAAATATCTTACTCTGGGTTTCAAAGTAATTTTCACTTTACCCCAAATCTACCTACTGGCATTCTCATGAGTGCTTACTTGAAACTCCTTTCATCTCAGCACAACCTTCTCATTATCCACAATCTCTATTCAAACTATCTTTTTCTTCCAGTCCTTCACAGAATGTGTCTTACAACCCTTGAACCTTTTTTCTCCTCTTATTTGATATCATTATTTTAAAAGATCACTTCCATCATTTCTAACCCTAAAGTTGATGTTAAAATAACTTTTATTCATGCTTTCTTGTGGTATATAAAGATAAATAGCACCATAAATGAAATTATATGCTATAATATACCAAAACAGAATAAATTAAAACAGATAACTAAACTCTTTGAAAAATTAAAGCTTCTTCTTAATATCCTACTGACTCTAATCACCATATCTTCTACCCTCCTGGACCCTTATAGTCAAAATGTCTGAATGCTCACCCAAAAATCTGACTGTCAACTTAACTTTTTTAATCTTCATGGCTGTTTTATTTTATGTGGGGAGAGAATTACATGGAAGCTTGTTCTAAAATTTCTGAATTCTAGCAGATTGCCTTGGCTAACAGCACCAGCCGTCATCTTCTAGGCTACTGAAACAGCATAAGCAAAAACAAAACAACTATAAGCACTTAAACTAACCTCTTCATAAACAATGATGGTAATATGGAAATAGAAAAAGTTTTATACTTTATTATCTTCCAGAGTATAGATCAACAGCAGGGAGCAAAGCAGCTTACCTCAGGCTAACAGGCTCACATCAGAGCTTTTTGGAGAATGCTGAAAAAAAATGTATCTTTATTCAAAAGAGAAAAACAAATTATTATCAGGTATTTATCCTCCTGGCTAACAGGAAGCAGTGCTTGAGCTAATGCACAGGTCTGGTTTAAAAAAAAAAAAAAAAAAGCCCCAAGAATATTTGCTGGGAATTAAATTGTCAACAAATCTTTGAAAATGTCAGTAAGTTCTCAAAAGAACAAACTTGGACTTGGGGGAAAACACAACATCACACACACACATAAAACCTGTGAGAACTCAAAGACCACCAAGACTACTGCTAATAATTGTAGTTACCTAAAGAGCCAGAGAAACAATGGAAGTGCACATAAAGAATATTCTAGAGAAGGGAAAAAAACATATGAAATAAAAATGTGTAAAGAGCATTGCGGGCCTATGAATTTACAAAATCATAAATAGTACTACCTTATTTTTAGTCCCATTTTAGGTTGCTATCTTCTAGAAGATGGGAACTACTATCTTGCCTTATGTTATTAATATATCATATTGAGTACTACTTGTTGGTAGGTATCTATAAATGTTTAGATTAAGATGATGAAAATGACAATAATGATGACAAAAACAAATAGGCAAATGAAATGCAGCATTTAGGGACTTGGTACCTGTTAAAAGTTAATGAATTGTCACTCCAGAAATTGAATGTTTCCTTTCCACATTGGTAGTATTAATTGTGAGAGTGGAACAAAAAGAAGAGAAATCAAGCCTTGGGGTGTCCCACCTAAGCCAGATAAGTCAACACTAGGTTCTTGCCTTAAGAAAATAAAGAAGTTTATCTTCATCACAATCCAACTGTTTTTAAGATATATTTAATTACTGAAAGAAAATGCATCTGGTTAATACTCACCTTTACTAATAGTCTCATAGCAGACTATACATACTCTTGCTTCTTTTTCTAGATATTGTAGTTTACACTTCCTATTACAACAGACACCACAAAATACCTACAAAGAATAAAACACCAAATTTGTTTTTTTTTCAAGCATACTTATATACCTACTAGAGGAAGGAGGAGGGACATCCTAAGCCTAATCAACCAGAACCCATTTTACTTATTATAAAATCATTTTCTTAACCACAATAACCACAGGTAGCATTCTTAAATAACTTTTTTTTTACTTAAATGAGGTTTTTACAATTTAAAACCACATTTCTAATAAGAATTCCTTTAAATTAATGATGTTAATTTGAAAATGTACAGAAACCTTAATAAGTAAGTTTATAACTTACAAAACTCTGTGCTTTATCTATTTATTTAAAGTTTTTAAAAGTAGAATATTATTTTGCTAAAAAAAAAAGTAGGACTGATCTGAAATCAACATATTACTAAAAAATTCTGAATAAAAAATATTTCTAGGGGCAACCCTAGAGTTTAAGACCATCTTTTTATTCTGTTATAAGACATTCAGAACTCAAATAAGGTCAGCTTCAGTATTCTGAATCTTGTGCAAGCCAATTTGCTTTTCAGTGTTTCCCTGAGTATTCTTCATCATACTAGCTGTAGAGTGATCTTGAAATAAAGTATTAAAGGACAAACGGGATCTGACTGAATTTGGAACATCTAATGTGTCATTATTAGAAAGATAAAATGTATTCTTAAATTTCATAAAGATAAAATAAATAATAATTAAATAATTATTTCTCATTGCCCAGCATGTAATAGCCATGAAAACGCAACATTTATTCACTATTAAGCAATCTGCAAAATGACAGTGCTTTATATATTTCCATTACTGATAAGTGAAAAACACTGATTTTAAACTCAATCTTGCAATCATCAGCTAATCAAACTTTTCTGTCGTATTACATTTAAGATGTCTCAGAAGAATAAGACTTAAAAGATTTTCATAACTTACTTTGCCACATGCCCGGCAGTGGTGTCGTCGTTTTGTAAAAGTGAATTTGACTCGGCAATTCATACAGTTTGGAGCTTCTGAATCAGGAACCCAAGTAGGTTGCTTTTGGCCCAAAACTAAGCCCTCTTTGCAAGTGTTTTCAGGTAGAGAATCCTTGTTTGCAGTTACAAAACTGGATCCACCTTCAAAATTACTTTCTAAATCAATATAATTAGAGTTGAAGTTAACCTGAGGATCAGTTGTAGAATCCATAGTACAAGTGGTCGGAGCAGTGGTGTTTGCCATGCTGGGTTCACTTTCTGGCACATTTGGAACATCAGGTTTATTCAGGTCCTTTGAACTCCTTGTTTTTGATGGAAGGCTAAACAACTGCTTAGGTCTGGCCCCTCCAACATGAACAGATTGACTGTTAATATCAGAGACTAATAATTCATTTGCAATCTCAGACTTACTGGTAGCTAATCCATGATCAATTGGAATTGTGCTTTTTTCCCCTAAAGAAGGGCCATCTTCCACTGTATTTTGTTTATCGACTGTTTCACAAATCATATTAATATCACAACTATTTCCAGTAGCTCCTACTTCTTCATATACATTATTGATGTTTTCATCTAAGCCTTTCATATCTATCTGATTCATTTGAGATTTTGAGTCATTTACATTTTCTTCAAAGGACTTTACATTAGTGGTCTGAAGATACTGTTCCGTCAGAAAGGCATCAAGTTCAGCATCACTAATTAGTGTGCCACTTTTCATGCCTTCATCAATATTAAAGTAACCTAAGTCTTGCCCATCCAAATCATTGCTTGAAAAAGTAAGACCTTTGCAACAATCAGAAGACTCTAGGACATCAGTGCCAGAGACTTCCTCTTGAGATTCCACAACTGTAGAAGAACTAGTGTCATCAGGGTGATCCAAAGATTCAACTCTAATTACTGTCTGGTGAGGATCTACCTTTCGATCTTCTGTCTTTTCAATGAATGGCTGAATAAGTATGTTTTTACATTTTTCCGGTTTCAAAAGATCAATCTCCTTGAATGGTTCCCCATCTAGAATAACACACTTCTGCATTTTTCCATGCGTAGTCACTGCATCTTGTATATTATTTTTATTTTCATTCTGAGGTAAAATATCACCATGTGCTTTACTTTCCATTAATGATCCACACAAAGACCCAGATACTGGAAGACAGGAGGATACTGAGGACTGTGCCTCTTCATCTGAAACATGCAATGCTGAAGAGGACTCTTGGATTACATCATTATTATCTTTAAGGTCTATATTTTTTAAGTCTTCTTTTGCAGATTGTTTTATAAATACAGCAGTCTTATCTTCCTGAAAGGAAAAGTCATATAATTTGGAATTTTTATCTCTTGAATTTAAATCATTTACGCATAAACCTTCATTTTTTGGAAGACTGCAAAGCAAAGCACTTATGCTGCCCCCTTCTTTTAAACATTGTGTGGTGGTTATGACTGCCACATCTCCCTCCTCTTTTACCAAACAGCCACCATCTTTTAATAGTTCACATGTCTGGCTCTTGTGTTGTAGGTTGTCTTTGGTATCAAACATTTTGGAACTTTGTTGAGTTAAAGCAGATGATATGTTAAAATCAACTGGTTCCAATTGGTAAGAGTTCTTTTTATCCTTCAAATTTTCTGTTCCACTATAATTAGAAGAATCTGAAAGTGTTGTATGTACTTTTATGCCCAATTCTTTGGTTCCACTGATTTCTCTATTTTGTAATTCAGAGTTGACATCATTCTGTTGTTCTCTGACTGTATCACTACCACGGTCTGCTGAAGAGACACAGAGAGTATCTGACACTAAAGATAAATCCAATCCAATCAAAGAATCTGCATGAGACTTAAAATCATCTGGCAGTAATTTTTTAATATCTTCTTCACTATCAGTTGCATGAACTAAGTTACCCATGTCACTTATCAGATCACAGACAGGTTTACTACACCGTCCCATATATAAAGGCTGTGTTTCATCTGAAGTACCACCATCCACAGAAGAAAGGAGATCAAGCCCTGCTACATTTTTTTCATTTTGTATAGAAGTTAGTGCCTCAAATGTTTTTTCATTTTGGGAACTCTCACTTATTTCATAGCATGTTTCTGATGAGGCACAACTATTGATGCATTGTTGGTCCTTTGGTAGCAGTGAAGTTAGCTGTGAGGAAGTCAACTCTGAAGAAACTGAGCAGTGGTTAGAATCATATGCATTTTGTGCATCTTGGAGATAATCTTGTTCATCTAATTAAAAAGAGATACAATGTTATTCAGGAGACCCAAATCAACTAAAAATTATTACAAAGATACTATGTCTTCTAAGACTTCTAAGTTAAATAAGCCTTTTTTCTAAAGATTTTCTATAGATTACCCTTTTGCAAAATAGAAGTATTCTCTAAAACTATTTTGATCTGACTTTAAGTATTTTCTGGTTTTTACTTTTGAATGTAGATATCATAAATGATGGAAATTCCCCTCAAAATAATTCAGTTGCACTATAAAACCCAGACTAAGGAAGAGATAAAAACAATCTCTTTTGTTCTGCCCTCCAGTTTCCTGGTCTTCATTCTGAGGGAAATATTATGTCTCATAGTAATGAAATATCAATTTATGTAGAGCTTTCAAGTTTCATTTAGCTTGCTCATATATTGATTTCAAAAGTCGTTCTTATAGCTAGTTTATATCTAGAAAAAAAAACTTCTAGCTTCCTTACTTCTGTTTTTAGCAATTGGTCTCATTAAGCATAAAAATTAACTAATATGTTATTATGAAATAAGTAAAGTTCTTACAGAAGATAATAATGTGACCAAAATGTAAATCAAATTCTGCTAATATTACTCTGGATTGGATATAACTAAATTACAGGTATTTAAAAATTCCATTAGTGGCAAAGCAGGAAAAACAACAAACCTGGGTTCTGCTCAAAATCATCAAGGAGTTTGTCCAAGTCACTGACAGCAGCTTTAAAGTAACTGTCCATCCTACTTGTAGACTTACTCAGAATTTAATTATTGTATGCCTAGAAAATAAAAAGTATGATATTTCGTTTAATTCTTGAACATAAATATGATACTATCTATTCCAAGTCACAAAACACAGTTAAAGAACACAGAAATAAAATTTAAGAGTACTGCTTTGAGGAATCTGCAATTTAGTTAGGCAAATTGCCTCTCCTTATGTAAAAATGACACAAAAACCAAGCTGTAACAACATAAAATTTGCATATATAAACTATTATACAATTTAAAACATCTAAATAATGGGTCAAAGAAGAATTCATAATGGAAAGCTAAAACCATTTATAAATATATCAAATAATATAAATGCACTTAATATATATATTAATAAATATATATATTGATATAATAATAAATATATCAAATATACTAAATGCACTTAAAAATACTGCACATAAAAACTTGTGGGATTCAACAGAAGTGGTACTTCAAGGGATGTTTACAAACTTAGATAGTTACATTACAAAAGAAGAAATATTAAAAACTAATAAGAGAAGAAATTAAAGCAGAAACCAAGCATATAATATAGAGGCACAAGAAAACTAAAAATTAGTTTTATGAAAAGATGAATACAGTATATGAACCTTTGGAAGCAGAAGCTCCACCAAATAAACCTGAGAAACCCTGCAGGAATCTGTCAATAACTAAAATATCAAAAGGACATAAAACAAGATAAAAGACACTGGCTTAAATGGAAAAACTGAGCATCAAAGGAATAAAGACTGCAAAGGACTAAACACAAAACAAATAGACAAAAAACAAGAGATCATAATGATACTTAAACACAAAAACAAAACATGCCACTTATTGGAGGGTTGCTAGGGTACTAATCAATTACCCTGACAATTGATCAATTAAGGGAAAAGAGTCAAAAATTTATCCTGTCCTTTATTTACAAAATATACTTTAGAACAACAAAATAGTGGCTGAGGGAAAATTCTTTAGACAAGAATTCCAGTTAATTAATGTAGGATATTAAGCTTTTTAAAATCATCTCATCAAAATCCCTAATGCAGTAAATAAACTAGGCAATAGTTATCAGTGGATGTTAAAAAATTTTAGAGGAAAAGATTGACAGAGAAATTCAAAATGGTGGCATTGTGTCAACACATCTGAATCCAGTGATCAATTTCACTATCAATAAATGTGGAAGAACAGCATCACCTTAAAAAAATTTCTGCCTAAAAAGTGAACATGAACTATCTGAATGTTTACAGGAAATTCAGTCAGGCATGGTGGCACACTCCTGTAATCCCAGCTACTCGGGAAGCTGAAGTAGGAAAATCACTTGAGCCCAGGAGTTGGAAGCTATAGTGAACTATGATCATGCTACCGCACTCCAGCCTGGGTGACAGAGTGAGAACCTGTTTCTACAAAAACAAAAAAAAGTTAAATAACATAAATAGAAAGCAATCAGCTAAATTAATCCAGAAGGTGAAATACTCCACAGCAGTGTTTCTCAAACTGTCGTTAGCGAATGACTCGTTTTTTAAGACTTCCAATATGTTGCAAACTTACTTTTATAAAACACAATAAAAACTATACACATTTTGTAGTAATAAATACAAACAAAAGGATATACATTATTAAACACATTTGAATGGTGTAGTAATAAATACAAACAAAAGGATATACATTATTAAACACATTTGAATGGTTGCCTGGAGTAGGGAACAGGAATTGGAAATGGAGTAGAAAAGACAATAAACAAGCAAGAGGCTTTACAAGAACTAATTTATGATTGTGTGTCATGAACTAAGGACACCTGAGGTCCAGAAAAAATTGAGACACTTTAAAGACAGGTTAAGGGTGGGTGCAGTGGCTCAGAATGTAATCCCAGCACTTTGGGAGGCTGAGGCGAGAGGACTGCCTGAGCCTGTGGGTTTGAGACCAGCCAGGGCACCATGGTGAGACCTCATCTTTACAGTAAATCAAAAAATTAGCCGGGCATGGTAATGCGCACCTGTAGTTCCAGCTACTTGGAAAGCTGGGGTGAAAGGATGGCCGGAGCCCAGCAGGTCAAGGCTGCAGTGGCTGTGAGCATGCCACTGTACTCCAGCCTGGGCAACGGAGACTCTAACTCAAAAAAAAAAA